CAACCGTAGGTTTTAGCCCTTCTGCCCTCATATGAAAGCTCAAAGACCCAGGGAGTTGATCCTGGCAACGATTTACACAATCTCACCGTTTTGGGGGCCAAACAACATGTTTCAAGTATATAGACGACACTCCTGATATTTAAACGGACAAATGAGAATTCATTTCAAATTAGGTGATTACAATTATCTAATTAATTAAACATCATCATTTTTAAAATCCAGATTTAGAAAAATATAAAAGGGTCGAGATCTGGATCGAAGAATGTTTTCCTGGTCCTGAAGAGAATCCATTACAAAGTTCATGTGTGCATTAGGCGCCAGTCCATTCAGCCAGTTATTGAAATCAACGATGCGTTTCGACTTCTTGTTTAACTGACTGATATGCTCAAAGGCAATCTACAGATAATTCTCCACTACCATCATCAGACATAGGACGATCAATTATCAAGCGTAGCAGAAAGTTTATAAATAGAATTCAAAATAGCTTGATTAAATTGTCAGATGAAGGCTGCGACAGTCCACAAAATATGCAGCCCAAACTTCTACAAAAATCGTTGCGAAAATCTCACTACGTTTAACCATGTTTTAACGCGACATGAATCTACCATTTCAAAAACGCAGATTTCGGTAGACAGAAAACATGTACCAGAAGTTTTTAATCGATTAAAAATGCGAGAGACTTGCCAAAAAATCTGATCACTCTAAACAAGATCACGAAAAATAATTTTGTTAAAAGAATGTGAACTACATTCAACAATTGGAGTTCAAATTCCTGAAAATCAGAAAGAATGTGAATAAGCGTATCAACGTCAAATAAATTATTACTGGAGGAAGATAATTATTGGAAATCTTCATAATCGTGAACACATAATACGATGGCCTAAAACTGCTCGTGAAAAACTCATGAATTAAAGCATAGCTAAATTCAGCAAGATATTTGTGGCCAAATGAAGTCATATTAAAATCGCAGATTAGCTAACAAGCGTGGTTTTCTGACCAAACTGAACTAAATTGGGAAGAAAAGCTTCTGGACACACGTTTTTCTAAAGAGTTTGTCAAATTCACGTTGTCGGCTGATTGTCTGTTCAAAAAAGCTGATTGTCCAAATGCAACCCTCAGGCGGAACCAGTTTAAGCAAAACATGAACCTATTTGGAGAATTCAAGTTACGCGATGTGGGGTGTACTGGAAGATGCTTTGAACCAAGTTTTAGAGACAGCTTATTAAAACTCAGAAAACTTTTCAAAGAATTCAAATCTTTTAAAACATTGAAAGTCGAAATAAGTTGGTCAGTCAAAGTACAATGCAGACACGCATTCATCATACGGTACCAAAAATAATGTACAGTGTGTCATTCGGGAAACAAAATTCAGATCCATCCTGCAGCGACTCATTTCAAACATTAACACTAAGTTTATACTCAAGATAAGTATACATGGCTTTGTTTTTGCCATGAAAATTAGCATTATCTCAGTCGAGAGAAGTAATAACAACATGCCAAAGAATTTGGGAAAATTGTGAGCTTCGTATCCATTATAGGTAGTGGTTTAGCAAGTTCTGTGTCGAGGTCTTCCCATCGATTTCTCCATGGTGCAAATAGTGTCAGTGCGTTCTTTGGAATAAACTCTGCGCAGTGCAATAATTATAATGCAATAGAAACAGTTGCTATCAAATCGTGAGAATTAAAATTATGGTGGTGGTGTTTCTTTTCGCTTCTGTTACCACGTTGTAGATCGTATAGCCTTGAAGTTGATTGCGAGTGGAGGGAATTTTGCTTTGAAAAGACCGTCTTGGTATTCGCGTTTGCACAGTGGATGAAAGTTGTAGTCATTAAGAGTCACGAGAAAAATTCTTTGCCGATGGTTCGGCAGATTTTTCTTTTGCAAACCTGGATTGAAGTAAGCAGTGCTTTACATCATAACAAACATAGTACTGCACAGTGCGCCATCACAGAGGGCAGTTTTTGTCACATAAATTCAGCAACAATAAAAGTACACAGTGCCTACTCATGCCTGCCACACGCGAAAAGTGGCCTTCCCTCCGCTATGGCGTGCCGTGCAAGCACTCCATAGGTCAATGTGTAAAATTTTTTTACCTGGACTTGCGATGGTCCAAATCCAGCTGGCGGTAGATTACTTTGCTTCTGTAATAATGTCGCACAGACTTCACTCCTCTCTAATCTCTATACTCGATTGTCTTCAGCGAAATGATGCTTGTAGGGAGCATTTTGCCACCTTTAAATAGCCCCGCGAGCTGCCAAAAAAGCTGCTAATGAGATTATTTGCCAATCGGAGTCAGCAGCTAAAAGACTAGAAAAATGTTTTGATTGGCCAGAGTTGATGTCATACTGAACCAATAAGGACTGCTGGTCAGAGCAAGCCACAACATATTGGCACCAGTAGTTTCTAGCATTGATCCGGATTTCTAGCACTCTGAACATTATTAAACCCTTATCAGGCTACATCTCTGTTGGGGGGGGGTCTGGTCCACTCAGGACGCGTCTACATATCCTGATAAGATGGACGTGAGGCAAACAGGGCTTGCCTCATCCACTTCTCTAGTTTTGCAAATGCAGTAATTGGGGTATAAGTTCCCCACGAAAAAACAATTTCAAATATCACGAGAGAGAGAATATTTGAATTTCTCTACCTCCCCAAAGTGTGTAAAAAGCCCCAAACCTCCCATATCTTTTGCCCCTGAAAAGGTTAGCCCTAAACCTTTTGGTTCTGGATCTGTCCTTGATCATGTATGTTTCATTTTGAGAAACCCGTAAGCTGAAGTGATTTCAATTTACTCATCAGAATGCTTTGCTTGTCGAAAACGATACGTACATTAAACTTGCATAATTGTTTTTCGCAATATACGGATCTTCTTACTTTGTCGAGAATTCCCCTCCAACACTCCTCCCGAGTTAAAAAGTTTTATTTCTTTCTTACATCGACAAAGAGAAGCATCTATTGTGGTTGTCTTTCATTTTAAATAAACAGGTCATAGAGTTCCTGGATTGTATAGACTCTTAAATCTTTCGTAGGAATAAAGACGATGCTTTCACATTCTCCAGGAATGGTGGGTGTATGCACCAAAAGGAAAAGCGGAGTGCCAATTCGCTGAGTAATAACATAAACTTTATTTCTGAAGCGTCTGATAAAATCAAGTTCCTAAGCGCTTTTCCATTATTACCCCTGCTCACTGGGCCAATTAAACATTCCATATACCATCTCAGCTCCCCGTGGATCCACGCCCTGATGTGGCGCTTGCACGTGTATGCCTTAACACTGGAGGTATTCGTGTGTTGTGTTCTCGCTCGCTCACTCACTCAGTCAAGGCAGCCTACCCCAAAAGTCGCCATTAGTGCTATGACAACTAAACAAATTTGGCCACAGCCCAATATGTACCCAGAAAAAGGATATGTACAGTGTCTTAGGGGTTTGTTCCTGTTTTCCAGGTACAGTAGTGACAAGGACAGCCCCAATTCCGTCGTCCTGACTGCCACGGTTTGGGGAGGGAGACTTCATCGGCTCGTGGTAATTAATGCAACCTGTCTCCATCGTAAAATGTCATTTCTGTTTACGGTTTCCCTTTGAATGTAGCCCTTTGAAGATCAAACAGGGAATGTTGGGATGTTAGAAATATGAAATGTCACAACCATTATGTTTTTGTCAACGAATTAAAAAAACAGTCAAGCAAATAACCGGTTATATCCGTCATCCAGAAAACTGGATGCCGGAAATTTAGAGACAACAAGACAGGCCCAGCAGGTGTTTGTTTATTTCTTTTACAGAACCGTATTAAAAGAGAATTTTTGGTTGGGAAATTGAGATGCTAAAGCCGTTTACTCTTGCAAATCAGTTTTTCAAATCATACACAGGCATTAAATTTTGTTTTGTAGTTTTTGTTTTGTTCTGAAAAATATTATTTGTATTTTGTTTTGTTCATTTTATTATTTAACTTCCGAAATGAAGTGAAACGGAAAGGAAGTGATTATTCCTAAGCTTGTTCATCGTGTCTGAGCAGGAGTTTCCATAGAGGCTGTTAGGGTTTAGCTAAAAGTTCCATATAGTGCTAGAATTACCGAAAGATGTTGAGGTAATTATCTTTAAAGTTTTTACTTCGGAAATGGAACTGTCGTAATCATCACCGTGGCGTTTGTCAAAGTGTGATTTTTTTCGTAAACAGCACAGCAGACTTGTTGAAGAAACAACTTATGTGCGTCACACAGCTATACTATGCATGTAAAGGGAAACCTGCGGTTTTGATTTCTCTGCCAGGTCGTATCCGTCTTCACACAAAACCAGGACGAGGCTGACCGCTGTCCATAGTGTTAATGCCAGCTAATTGACAAGCTGTGAAGATAACATCGGATTGGACTACAGGGTTTATAGCGTGGCCCGAGAAATCAATGACCTTAGACATCCGTGTACACAGAGTCCTTGTTTACTTTGTATTTAAGGTTAGACGTGGCGTTGTATATAAACTGTGAAATGGTACTGGTAGCGTTCGAAGGCTTCTTCTTTTAAGATCGAAGGTCAAGTGGGCGTATTTATGAAGTTTGACTTTGGAACATTCGCGAAATTAAAGACTCTTATCTCACATTTATACATTTTAATTTGTGTCGAAAACACGAAATTAATTGCAATTAATGTAGGCCTAATTGCCGCCGTAGGAGACTCCACGATAAATCGGCAGAGGAGCGTTGAAAGGGACTGAAAATCCCATCCACTCTGGCCTGGGTGGGATTCGAACTCAAGTGCCCCCTCCCATCCCAAGCCCGTTCTATCTACACCCATTAGTAAATCTCTCTCGTGAAAAAGAGGTTCATCGTGAAGGGAACCAGCGGAGTGCAAGTTGTACACTTTTAGCTTACCAGTCATGAACTTGAAGTTCATTATCCTCCAATGTGAATGTTAAATACATTGGAAATAATCATTGAATTAATAGGTCTTCAGAAGACATTTGGTGTCCAAAATGCTGGAGATACGAAAATATCCTACGGTAATATCCCCTGAAACTTGTGATTTTGGGAATATTGTACCCAGGACACTTTCGGAAGCGATGCGCGCGACCTTTTCTTTTATTAAGCAAACTGTAGCTCAGAATTGTACAATCATCTTTCCTTTGATCGTATTTTTCTAGTTCTTGCCACGATTCAGCCCTGGAATCATGCCGATTTCCCACCTGCAGTGGCGTAGCTAGAATTTCACTAGTGGGGGGGGGAGGGGACACCAGCATCTTATGGGAGGGCACCAGCTTTCAGTGGTGTGGGTTTTTGTTTGGGGGGGTAGCTTTTGCTATCCTTGTTCAATATCCATTCATTTGTTTATTTATTGGCAGGGGGGAACCAAGAATTTGTGGGGGGCACGTGCCCCCCCCCGGCTACGCCACTGCCTACTCGTACCCCAGTGGTTGGAGAACAAAAGAAACGCCTTACATTCTGATATTCCCCCCCCCCCTCATCGTATAATCACAGCACCAACTGCATGACTATTCAAAATAATAATGCTCCCCGTGCACCTTCCGCGCTGCATGTATCGCACCTCCGTGGTGAAGTTGATAGTCGCCGCTAGCTGACGATGTCTCTCATCCGTGTGCTGAGACGGAAACACCGCAGGGAATGAATAGAACTTCGGTTGTCCCATCGTGGCCCAGTGATTCACGTACTCTCAAACAGGTCAATTTCGTGTATAATCTTAAAGCTGATGTCATGGCATCTGGTGCGAAATTGGCGATAATTTGGAACAGGAAGTTAATGAAAATTTGCCATAAACAGTCTCGATTGTCCATCTCTACCCTTTCGCTTCTTTAATATTAATGGTAGGGCCTATTGCATTCTGGTGCGCATGGAGGAATTCGGAGTGGATGGGTTAAGCCTATGGAAAAGGGTGGTATGAAAGCTTGGCCAAGGGCATTCAGATTTCAGGCTTTTATCCATCCCGGAAGTTAATTGGTTTTTGTAAATAATGAAGGAACATACGCCCCGCTGGGGGTTTGGCCGAAATATAGTCAAATCGATAAGAGCATTGTTACATAACGTGTTATGCTCATAAATTCGGAAGTTTTTTATTGTTTCCGTTACTGATACAAGGTCAAAGCAATTTGCAAAATCCCTACGAATTGTTCGAATGATGAATGCTTATGCGAAAAGGTTGCACTCTGGACCTATTACTGTACTTGAAGCTAATGCAAACAATCTCAAGTTTTACAAAAGTTTCAAAATCTGAGCCATCCGTGCCCGCCAGAGTCTCTACCAGCTGGCAAATAGCAGTTTGTGCCAGATTTTTGTAATTCTCGTTTGAAGTTTTGTGATCTTAAGGTTTCGGTTACGATAGAAAGTTTCTTGGAAGGCTCTAGGGTCCATAAATAAAACTGAAGTTCCTGAATGGGTGTTTATATTCTTGTTTTATTGTGCCGATTTTTTAAAAGTTTTACGTTGACCCATTCTTTCTTTCTTTTCTTTTCTTTTTTACCTACAATCATGGAACACTCTCTCCAGGGGCATGAGACTGCCGCTCACCTGTTGGTAAAATATGACGCTGTCGTGTCTCCTATTGTTCCTATCTTTGTTTTCTTTGAAACACGGTGGCTTTTTCCAAAGAAAAGATAAACAGGTGTAACTACAGTTTTTCCCTAGAATGACCTGTTTATACTGTTGAAAATAAAAAGGTCAAGTGACTCCTTCCAGCTGAAGGATTTAACCCCCATGCACGGAAGAGGTTTTCACACCGTCCACGTCGCTCACTGACCCCCCCCCCCGACTCAGGTCGTGGGAGACTTCTCGGGTATTTGGTGTCTGGGAGAGTCCCGTACCATTCCCACTTTTATCCCCAATATAAACACCAGGGTTGTTGCTCTAAATTCCATGGCGCTGGCCTATTTACAAGGAAAAACGGAGCTCAAGGCATTAACCGTTGATATTTATGAGTGGCTAAAAGCACAGATTCCTTCACAATACTCCGCCCATTAAAGTATTCTTTTGGGTAGTTTTTTATGATCTCTGCTTATTGTACTGCAAGTGCATTGACAGTGGTGGTTGAATCAATAAATATTCTTTACTGTTATGTTTTCATTAACAAAAATCGCGACTTATACAGATTTTCGATAGATTCTCTATTGATTAAATAGAAAGTAAGTTTTCTCGTTGCAAAACGTTATTTTCTGCCCGTGTAAAATAAGTGACGGACTCGAGCCATGAAGATCCTTTGAAGATAGCACACAACATGTTAATATATTTTTCGAACAGTATTCCCTTCTTTGACATATTTTCATCATCCCGATTTCGCGTTTACATGGTCCACTTCCCGACCATATCGTGCTCTTACGTTATTCGCCCTCTGTATTCTGTATTTGGCATGCGAATCCATTGGCTTGTTTTTACCATTCGCTACAACTGTCGCAGCAGTATTCTCGACCGACACAAAACGAGACACTGAGGTCACTGTGCCCAGTGCACGAACTTGCATTAACTGTCGGCTATCGTCAGACGCGACACTACTACAAGTCCGCGGTTCTTGTCCATATACTCATGGTAGAGGGTAATCACCCACAACGAGTCTGCCTGTATGCCCATTTCCCCTTTAATTTAAAGTACTTTTCACTCTCCGATTTTACAAGTCAGTTTCATAGGTGTGTTACACCCCAACTGCACACAAGTCAGTCTTAATTTCAAGTTTCACCCCGGTAAAGGCTGGTAAACCTTTGTCCGTCTCCTCTAATGCTTGGTCGCTGCCAGAACGAAAAAGACGAAATTTCACGCGGCCCTGCTATAGGCCTCCGTAGATGCGAGCTGCATACAGTTAACAATTGGAGCTAAGACCTTGATCTTCCAACTGCGCCCGTACAAGAAATACCCGAAGGTGGCATAATATACGTTTGGCAAAACTGTTGGTAGCGCCACACATTTCTGAAAGGGTTGAAACAGCGAAGGGGGCTTGGAAGTCACAAGTGCACTACGTGTATTTTTACTGAGTAGGATTTCGCCTTTTTTGCGCATGCGTAGGACATAGCAGATCACGGCTCGAAGCTACGTACGTGCGGCGGAGCACGTACAGTACATGTACATGTACATGTATAGTACATGTACGTACGCATTAAATCACGGAACTTCACTAGGCGATACGGGAGGCAATCTTTGATAGATTATTCAAAACACGCGTCAATATTGACTATTGACAAGAAATAAGCTCTGATATCATTCTCGATGGTCTATTGTACTATTGTTCCGGTCTTGTCGACCTACGGAATGCGGATGTAGTAGCTCATTCCCAGAATCGCTCGGGAACCTCCACCACAGACGCGGATGGGATTTTCCCTAGGTTTTCCGAAGTCTTTATGAAGTTCCCCCACTTAAAGATTGTGACATCATCGTGGGCGTGGCCTCATATCGTGATTGACAGTTGGCCTGCCGGGGAACGGGAGCCAAAAACCGTGTACACGTTCCGCTGGCTAGTCATTTACAGCAAAATAGATGCAGCATTAGCGCACTGTGTTGTGAGAGCTAAGTTCGATTTCCAACAAGCAAGAGTCCACTTCTGAAGGTGAGTTAAGACCCATGGAGCAATGGTTGTACATTTTTAGACTTGTCGATGAGTGAATACGCGACACCAAGTACTTGTTTGACCAGGCGTGTTCTCCTGCGCGGGCCCGTCGCCAAAGGGACCCCGAGCCCACCTGGCGGGGGCCCCATCGATAAAAAGCACATGCGTGAAAAATATATTTTGTTCTTGTGACGTAACCCCCGTAGCTGATACTGTGGCCTCCTTGAAATGCCTGAAGCTGGCGAAAGGACTTCCACCGTACTTTTGTCTGACTCAAATGCTCCCCAAATATTGTTGCGTTCTTACAAACTGTTCCCCTATGTAGATGTACATGTTACGCACCGGGCACTCAGCCCACACTCCCACAGCAATGTGCATTGCCCGCTATGCATTGTACATACAAGGCATTGCATATCACGCGCGACGCGATGGCATTATGCTGCGACATGCCCTTGAACCGCTACTCCGTAGCAAATTTCCAACTTCGTCATTTCCCCCCAAATTTTTCCAGGAGTTGATCCTAGTTTCAGTCACACATTAACCTACCATGCCGCTACATTCGACCCGCATAGACCCCCGTTTCGTAGCGTATGTGTCCCGCTGAGCCACATGCCGTACGCCTGTGTCCTGTAACGGTACAGCAAGGTCAAATTACCCTCTCCCAACCAGTTTTACCACCATAAAAATTGTGTGCAGATTTCCTAGCCATCCAGAGACTTAAAGTGTTGTACACAGCTCAGTGTACCGAGAAAGGCTCGCCCCTTCCTTACCCTCATGCGGGGCCATTGCTGCCCAGAAACTTAGTCAGTGAGACCAAGTGTACATAAAAATCCCCATAGAGTTTTCTCGCATAGACTTTCTACATGTATGAATTATTCATAGCCACACAAATCCAGCGCTCTCGTTGGCCAAGGCGAGCATTCCCGAGAGAGCGAGCCGCTCTCTGGGAACAACCAATCATGGACCGTTCATGAGTGTATAGCTCTGGCATGAATTGCCCATTCATTCCCAAGTGAACTGCTCAGATATGGAAGACCTGCATGCTCCGATTATTGTTTCCGTGATGCACATCCCTACAGTAATATCCATTTTTACTTGTAACAGAAGTTGATCATCGTAAATTTGGACGATGTAAATATTTTTTCTGAATAAAACAAGTTGTGTGTGTGAGTCTATCCAATGGCTCTGTCATTATTTTTGACACGTACAAAGGCTCCCTACCCTAAGAGAGAAGTTACAAAGTAGCAGCCCACTCTTCGTAATAACCTTTCTCTTTTCACTCCCGACGGGCAGTATGTCAAATTGGTGAGAGTTGTTATTTTTTTTACCTCCATGTGATAACAATGGAAATATGAAACGCTCCATGTTATAACATAAATAACTGAGGGTAGGCCTAATTATCAACGATTATGATTTTTTATCCATCGGTTGTTTCCAGTGCCAAGATGAAAGTAGCTATTATCGGCGCAGGAATCAGCGGGCTTCTGGCCATTAAGACCTGCCTAGAGGAAGGCATGGAGCCGCACTGTTTCGAACGATACGGCCAACTCGGTAAGTCCCATGTTTTTCTCTTCCACCTGGCCGCCCACCAGGGGAACAGAGGTGGGCAATCCTTCATCGAAGCCGTTGCCCTGCCCCCCATTTTAAAAGTGCACCGTAATAATCGTAATAATGAGTGTCCTCTATCTTAAACGAGCTTCCTTGTTCCGCCTGAAATATTCATTTAGCCTGTGCCGTATTCCATCCATCACGGCGTATGCTTTTGAAGAATGTTTTTTAATTTGCTTTTGCGAAGTCAAAAATTGTAAACAATCCGTGAGAACTCATATTGAAACAAATATGAGTTGTACGTTGTTGGTCGTCCGAGGAGTGAGGGCCTTTTTATTACTTAATTTTTATATTTTTTTCCAAGATGGCTGCAGATGTTTCAATTCAAAATGGCCGCCAACTTTTTCGGTTCAGAATTACAGCTTGCTTTTTATTAACTATCCTAAAGTAGAGTCAAAATATTCAGGTTAAAATTGCTCTCTGTATTTTATGAAAGTGCCCAGTCAGTGTGCATGAAAAATAGGTTTGTTTCGGTGAGGAAATAAAATAAAAGAAAGATGCGGACAGGTAGGCTGAACTTTTTTGGTTTCTCCTTGGGCATTGTGTATGTAGCTGAAAAACATCACAGCAATAAAAGTGAACAAGATAGAGTGTCAATGTCATCACCAGGCTCAAAAGGTCCTCTCTCTTCCAATGACGACCTGAACAGTCGAAGTTTTACCCAAATCACCGGCTTTCGAAAATCTTATTTGGAAATTCTTTCCGTTTGTTATTATATTAACTTTCCCCCCACTGTTAAGAGTTTATTATTTTTGGTCATTATTTAAGCTTATTAAATAATGCACTTGATTGGTGTTTCCATTTTCCCTTTTGACAGGTGGAGTCTGGGTTTATGATAAGCATCTCCGGCCAGGTCAGGGGTCGGCCATATACGATTCCCTTACTGCCAACTCAAGCAAGTGCCTGCTGGCCCTCAGTGACTTCCCCATGCCCCACGACCTTCCCCCTTACCCCCGGTACTATCATGTTCTCAAGTACTTCCAAGATTACGCGACTCACTTCGATCTCGAAAAGCACATCACATTCAACACCACAGTCCTGAGGGTGGAACCGACGGCCGATTTTGAGGCTACAGGCCGCTGGAACGTTCGCACGCGCACCGAGGGCTGTGAGGAAGTAGCGGGCGTGTACGATGCCGTGTTTGTCTGCTCGGGCATGTACAAAGCGCCACACATCCCAGACTATCCCGGGCTGGATGAGTTCGAAGGGCTGAAGATGCACTCGAATGAGTTCAGGAATGCTGACTGTTTTGACGACAAAACTGTGGTTGTAATGGGTGAGTGTCTGAGTACCATTTTTGACGTTATAAATTTACATTTAGGATGGTTTGCTTTCTGAGAATTACTTTTAATTGATCAATAAATCATTATTTTATGCGAAGCTGATTTTTCTATAAGCCACTCACATCTCCCCGAGGCAAAGCACGTCTTGAAATCTCTCACTTCGAAAACTCTATTTTATACTGAATCACTTAAAAATTCGGACATTAGATCTTATGACTGCAGATCAAAGCTTAGTAAAAAGATTTCACTTGTAACTAAGTGCGATCTCAATCGACTAACTTTAGTAGAGCAAGATCTATTTCCGACAGACATGACACTGTTTGCAACTTGACAGCCACAACCCAGCCTCAAAGGGTTTGCAACACACTGGCCAATCATAATGCGCCAAATCTGTCGACCCAATACGCGTTTGGAAAAGGTCGATAGATTTCGCACATTGTGATTGGAGGCGCACTACTGTGAACCGCCCGTAATGGGCTACAGCCAATTAAATTTCAGGTCTTTCACGGCTTGTTTTCTGACGTCATTTCCAGGAGCCTCCAACTCGGCCGGTGATGTAACCGCCGATATCAGTCGCCGCGCTCGCCAGGTACACATCTCCATGCGTCACGGTTGCTGGGTCGTCAGGCGCATGGCTGTCGACAGTACTCCAATAGATATGATGGTCAACCGTAGGATCCTCCAATATGCTCCCAAGCCTATCGTCGGTAATTAAATCTCTTTTGCTGCTAAGCTCAATTCTGTGGGCCCGATAAGCTTACAATTATACGTTTATACCGTTTATGCATGAAAAAAGTTCCCTGATCAACTTCTGGCAATGACCATTGACCTTAGCCGTTATGAAGTTTATCTTGGTTGTAAATTTTAAAAAGCGAAAACTAGGCCTGTCTTTGCATTCGTTGGTTCATTTTCATGCTACAGAAAACAGTTTACATCCTTGCTCAGTACTTCTTGTACTAATGACTTCTCTTTCTCTCTGGTCCTGAAGCTGATTTGTCCTGTCCAACTTTTTTTGTTTGACCTGTTGCAGACCGGATTGCAATGTCCAAAGCCAGCGTCAACTATAGTCATGACAAACTTGGACTTCGGGCCGAGAGTAGTTTGCTACGCAGCGAGGTGAGTTTGCTCGTACCTCACCCACCAGCCAACCCGAGGCTGGTGTTGGCCGTAAATGCCATGCACCTGTATTTCTCATTTTGTGCTCTGGCAAATGAATTGGCCCAAGCCACAGGCTGAAGAAAAACAATCTGATAAAATCTTGAAGTGAAAGCCGAACCAGGTTAATTACAGAATAGATTTAATTGGGGGCTTTATGGAATTTTCTAATCATCACAATTACGTGAATTAATGTGCAGTGAGAAATGTCATAAGCATCCTCCCGATGTCATAAACATCCTTCCAATGTCATAAGCATCCTTCCAATGTCATAACCAGCCTTCCAATGTCATAACCAGCTTGCCAATCCCATAAGCAGCTTGCCAATGCCATAAGCATCTTCCAATGTCATATCCAGCCTTCCAATGTCATAACTGTCTGTCGTGTTGGTAAACACAAATAGGGGCCTATGTGAATCATTTCCACTTCACTGCAAATACACAAATCCTGTTGTTCCAGTCTGGGGCACTTTTTAGAACTTCATGGTCAAAATGAGTACTTATACCGAAAAAAACCCCAGTACTGAAATTCTTTACATTGAATTGGATTCAATTGTTTATCTTTATGTCCTTCCATACAGGTCATGGTTAACGATGAAATAGGTGACCGCATCATGTGCGGGGCAGTCCAGTGCCGGCCAGCGGTCAAACGATTCACCCGCACTGGGGTGGAGTTTGTCGATGGATACAAGATCGATAACCTAGATGCTGTTGTCTTTGCCACTGGGTACAAGCTTGGTTTCGACTTCATCGATCGTTCCATAATACAAGGTATGCATTTCTTGTCTCTTTTAAACCCTAACTCTAAAGTTCACGTGAATGCAACCTTGTCAATAAGTTGTCTGAGTCATTTTAAAGACGTTGAGACACTAACAAGTATCCAACTTTCCATTTTCCAGACAGCTATGCAGACTTGGACCTGTTCATGCATATTTTCCCGCCAAAACTCAAGCACCAGACACTCGCTGTCATCGGCTGCGTGACCACGCTTGGCGGCCAGCCCCCCGTGTTTGAGCTTCAGGCCCGGCTAGCTGCCAGGGTCTTCAAGAGGCTGGTGCGTCTGCCGGAACAGGATGCCATGATGGCTGATGTCAAGCGCAGGCGCGACATCCTTTTCCAGAATTACGGAAAGCACAGAATCTTTGTAAGTGTCGTCGTCACTTTCCATCTAAGAAGTAACAAAGATAATCGGTTTGGAATGTGATATCTTTAGGTGTCCGAAATTTGATTGCATCTTCCAAGTGTTTTTATAAAAAAAAACATCAATTTCCTATTCTAGACAATTACGGTGACAGTGTGAGTGATAATGATTTTTTTTATATTTCAGTTCCCACCTGTTCCCTACCAGGAAGAGATGGCCGAGATGATTGGCGTAAAACCACGGTTCTCTGAACTCTTTCTGACCAATCCAAAACTTGCGTTTCAGGTACGTCACTCTTTTATATACCAACCCATCATTTGAATGTACCAACTTTAACTGAATGTTACTCGTTCTTTGCCTTAAAAAAAATGGACTCAGCATGTGTGCAAGTGTGGTTTTTTTCTGGGATGCTGTTGGTAGCATTTAGTAATAATTTTTCCTACCTTCTTTTTGGCATCCTAGGTCTTCTTCGGCCCATGCTACCCAGCTACATACCGCCTCCGCGGTCCTCACTCTTGGAAGGGCGCCAAACAGGTCATCCAGGAATCCTGGAATAGCACCGCCAATGCTACCAAGACGCGGGTACCAATGAAGAACCAAGGACAAGGGGACATGGTCTCAGCTCAAGCTAACACTTTGCTGCGAATCGGTCTCGCTGCACTGATGATCTTCGTGGCCCTCACGGCATTGATTGCTTAAAACTCTGTTGAGAGCAGAGAAACCCCAAGCATTCCAGGGGTTAGTCAATTGCCCAACATTATTACATTAAAGGCAGCACCTCATTCGCAGAAAATCAAACCATTGAAGCTGTTCAGTTGATTTTTATTGTGCATTCAAGAAAAGTTACATAATTGATTTGAAATTAAGAAGTATTCTTTGTATTGTTCGTCAAAATGCTAAAGACAACGTCCGTGATCTACATGTATTCTTTCACGTCATAATTTCGCCATATGTAATGATGTACAAAGCAAACTTTTACCATTCACGGTAAAAGAAACCGAGGGTTTTCGTAATAAACATGTAATTTAATTCGACAACTAGAATTAGAAGTCATTACTGCGATGACACAACACTCGTAGACATGTGATACGCGCATGTCATGCCTCATCGACCAATAGGGTGTCGAGCTTTGCCAAATGCCTGCACGCGTCAAGCTGAAGAAAGTGCATCTGAGAGTGCGGTGCTACCGCAGTTATGGCGTCTAATCGGATTAGTCTGTAAATGTTTCAACATGAATAAGGTTTAAAGCAATATTAAATCCTATTTTTGTATGAGGATAACAGCTACCTTTAAACGTATCAATAACCGCCCTGATTGTACACATAGACCACTCTCATTTTGCCTACAACTTCTATGGGCAGCCAGACTTCGCAGAAATATCATCTTTTGGTTGGTTTTGATTTGATCTCAAAATTCGTTCAATAATGGACAAATATTCAAATAGATTTAAACAGGGTTGGTTTTTTCATTTACGTGTATTAGTCCCTGATGTTCTGATAGCTGCGTGGAATTTTCAACAATTTGTGAATAATTCTTATTTTGTACTGACGGCCGGCCATAGTTTTACTGCCACTTGTAGGAAATATACGAGCGTGACGTCAAAAGAGCACACCCAATAGATGATACACCACTAATGTGGTGTGCGATAGTTAGTCACGCTGGTTGCCAAGAGTTGAGGGACCCTCTATTTTCCTCACAATGAGAATACTGCATCCCTAGCCTTCACCCTGGAGTGTGATAATGGAATACACAGGTTCTTGAAAACAATTACAAAACTGAAAATGTACATGTATCTGGCTATATTACATGTACTTACCGTTCAAAGTGGTTCTGAAATTGAGGGTAATTGATCATTGTATGTATTTGCTTGTAGAATTTTGCAAGTTGAACTTTCATCCATTTAACCCGTTTTCTGGATTTGCTTTTTGAGACTCCCACTAAATCCTTGTCGAACTTAAGCCTATATTTTTGTTAAAAATATATTATAAGCTTTATTCTTTCTATAAGCTTTCTAAACAGGTGCCTTAAAGCACGCATAATTATGCCACTAATATAAATAAATATGATATGAAGATAATGCTGAGGAACATTTCTTAAACTATTTAATCAATATAATTGTTCTCACTTTCAATTCTATTCAGCAATTATTATTTATTGGTCTTTTTTAACGTTTGTGGCTGGTTCATTGATCTGTTCACATTTATTGATAAGAATTGATTTTCGGAGAACAAAATTTGTACATAGATTTCATTGGAAATTGATTTGTTCACATTTATTGATAAGAATTGATTATTGGAGAACAAAATTTGTACATAAATTTCATTAAAACTTTAATCTGAGTGAGTTTATGAAAGTTTTATCACATAATAACCATTATAGCGAGAAGTGATCACTCATCCGGAAAGATCGCCCCAGGTTGCAGTGCAATTGATTTACTGAAATTAATATGCGAGATGAACCTAGAACAAGATAAAAATCGCCATTATTTTCCAACATCAGTCTAGCAAACAGTCAACTTATCTATGATACTCAAGTAATCGATCCGGGGGGGGGGTTGACAGGGCCAGCCCCCAAAAGGAGCCAAAATACAAAAATGAGGGTTTTTGCAATTCTCTTTCAGTGAAGCTCTTTCAATTCTCTTTCTACCCCAAAGCGTGTAAAAAGCCCCCTTATATGGTGTCACCCCCCAAAGGCCAAAATATACAATAATTATGATTTGCTTAGCATTCCATGTTCCATGCTAACTACTCTATGTGCCTAGCATGCCTAGGCTAAGCAGTCCCACAGTGTTCTTGTACATGTACATTCCCCAGGCTTCCATACCAGAATGGCTCATTTCCCAGAATTAAAAGTGGGATAGATAAATGTTTCATATACGAACATTTTCCCTTGGAGGAGTTTATTAGCCGTGAGAAAGTGATAACATACATGTCCTTATAAAAGTCAAATTTAGATGTGTCGAAGCATAAATTAAGAAACACTTCGAATTTTTTAGACCGGTCTCATGGAGTTTGTGCGCAAGGTCACAGTGTCAATTGATGTCAAGATATAGAACTATTTTCAGATGTATCAGATAATCCCCCCCCCCCAAAAAATAATAATTTGAGAAACACTGAAATTATACCTCGAAATTTTCGTCATTGTTTTGCGCGCACCGCCACCGGCTTCGTTTATGTGCAGATAGCGCCCTCCACCTTCTATGGAGTATGGTAGGGGGCGCTACACCTTTTTAAGGTTACCTTTTTTATCGCAGACAAAATGTTGCTGTTGTTGGCCGTTGGACCGACCGTATAGGCCGCCGCATGTGTTGTGTGTAAAATCTGTTAATTCTACTGAATAATTTTGAACCCAGATATTTAAGGTTCGTAACCACGTTTGTCTGCATATTTTTTACCTTACTTTACTGAAGAACACTTTTATTTTCAGTTATTTGTAGGGGGGGGGGACGATTGGGCTCGTAACAGTTTTCTCACGAAACCAGTAAAATGGGTGTTCTCGTGCTCGTACATACCTGTACATGTACCCCCAGAACTGTGGGACCCCACATTTCTGGGGGTACTTTACATGTATAGTGTACGTACATGTATGAATCATTGCTTACGAATTGACAAGTCCTAATGATCCTTGGAAAGATTTGCAGAGACGAAGAGTGGTTTTCTTCAGATACTTCAAAAAAGTTCAAGCCAAAGACATCAACGTGTTGGGGCCTTTTTAAAGACAAGTTTACATGTATGTCAGCTGCCAGTCAACACTTGGTCAAGGGTATCTGTATTGTTGGAGGTTCTGGAATTCTTCAACTACAACTTGATTCTATATTATGCAGCTTAGACATATTTTCAAATTCAAATTTATTGTAGGTATTGTATTTATTCCCCATATTTAAAAAATCGGGATAATTGTGTTCCATTCAGTAATTCACCCACCAAAGTCTTGCACTAAAACAGCAAAACAAAACACAGGACATTCAACTGAAAACAGGATAAAAATTATGTAATTAACCCCTTCTCGACGGGAATTTCTTTCCGAAAGCCGACTCCAAGAACTCCAGCCTCGCTTGGCCAGGAAGGCCACCTGCCAAACCGCAAATTCTCGGTTTGTTGTCCAGGGTGCAGAGATTTGAATTACACGGTGAAAAGGCTGATTGTTCGGTGGCATGCGGCTTTACTCAAGCTTTCACATTCCTGTTGCCTCTTTTCAAAGTGGGGACTATTGCGGAGCTGTTGATTATGATGCCAATTCGGTCTTTTCATTTCTGGGTTACACATAAAGACCAATTACCATATACACATGTTTACTGCATGGTTAAAGATTTAAACAAATGAATCAAGTTGGCAAGAAAAGTTTAATGAAAATGAAGAGTGTTTGTTGGTGGTGGGGGTGTTTGTTTTGGTGTAGCTTGCAGTGAAAATTGATGAATAATGATGAAATCAATGCTTGATTTTGGCTGTAAACAGCCAGAACTCTTCTTAGCCTTAAAAAGATGCTTAGTTTTGAAAGAATTTTTGCTATATTTACTTTTCCTGCTACAGATAACAATGGCAAAGAATGTACGCCGAGCACAGAATGCAGCAAAACAGAAGTTATCAAGATCTAGGGCACAACAAACACCTCAACATAAACAGGGAAGAGTTGTTAAAAAGCAGAAAGCAAAGGCAAGAAGGACCTCTACAAGGCAGGCTATCAAGCAGATCAGGAGGATGAAGCAAGAAGATAGTCAACAAATCAAAATTAAAATAACCAAGGAGACTTTTCAGAAAGACACTAAGAAGAAAAAGGTGTGTAAGAAGTTCCGTAGCACGGACTACAAACGGGTCGGTCTGGATCACCCTACATCTTCCCCAGCCATCGGCAAGATGTCAGAAAATGACAGGATAAAGTGCGCCATGAACGACCTGGCTTCAGGAAGGTTCCGCTTTGTATCCAAAGCAGCTGCCTACTGGCAGGTGCATGCTGCCAAGCTCTACCGCCGCCACAGTGGGGGAGTACCACTGGATGCGAGACGTGGCCCCAAGCGAGTTTTGACTGAGAAGGAAGAGGCAGCCCTTGTTGACTGGGTTGTGACGATGGGTAAGAAAGGTTTCCCTGTGGCACCTGGAATGGTCTGTGATGCTGTGAAGCTGTTCTTCAAGAAGGAGGGAAATCTCTTCACCAACGACAGACCATCCCATACATGGTATCATAAATTTGTGCGGCGGCATACCAAGCTACAAGAGGGACTGAAAATGTCTCGGTTAACAGCCATTTGTAGGGCAGATCAGACGAAAACTGTGATAGATGAATGGTTTAATGAACTCCTTAAAACTTTCACAGACTTACAGGTCACAGACAAGCCCGAAAGAATCTGGTGCTTCGGCCAGACCGGGTTTGAGTTGAACAAGAGGACACAAAGAATGGTCATGACATGTCGGGCTACAGGGAGAGTGCCAATGTCTTCCCCTGAGTTGGACGACTACGAGCAGAGGAGGGAGGTTGAGATTTTTGTCTGCGCTAATGCAGCAGGTAATCTCCTGCCTCCCTTCATCATTTGTAAAGGTCTTAAACATGCTCCTAAAGACAGCAGTTTTCTGGACAGTACTCCAAGGGGATCCAGGGCCTTGTTGCTTGAAGGCTACTCAGCTGGAGAGGACAACTTTGGAAACTGGGTCCAAAACCACTTGATCCCCAACTTAGGTGAGGAGCGTCCAGTAGTTTTGTTAGTTGACTTGAACGAGAATGAGATCAGTTACGGTGCCTATTCTGCAGCCTCAAGGCATGGTATACACCTGTTCCGCATCCCACCACAAGCTGCGGCAGTCCTCCTGCCTCTGAACATTGGAGATGAGGGGGAATTCAAATCCAGTTGGCTGATGAAGTGGGTGAAGGGCAACAGGCACGTCCCTGTGAACTTCAAAAATGTTGGCAGTGTGATCAGCGAGGCTTGGCCAAATGTGGAAAACCCAGAGGCTATCCGAACCTGCTTCATACAGTCAGGTGTGTATCCCCTGGATCGGGATATGGTTGACGATGAACATCTCCCAACAGGGGACTTCAAATTCCTTGATGGGATAAATCTGCCCGAAGACAAGGATGCGGGAGATCACAACGAAGACAGTGAAGATGACAGAATGGATGGGGAGGAAGGCAATAATGACTCCCTCACCCAGCAACTCTTCCAAGAACACATCCCTGAGAGCAAGCAGCCCATCGCTTCACTCCTGCTCTTCCAGAGGCTGGATGACACCTTGGAGAAGTCCACACGAGAGACCTACCGAACTTGTGTGGAGAGCGGCCTCGATCTCCTAGAGGACCCTCTTTTCATTGTCTGGAAGAAACTGTACACGGAAGCCTTCAGGAATGACCCCAACGTGCCATTAACATCAGTGGAGGAAGTCGTTGTAACCACAGAGAAGTGCTCCCAGCAGGAGGCCAGGGACTCCATCCTAGTGGAAGGACTCGGTCAAGAAGATGGTGAGAGGGCAATCTGTCCTGTCTGCAAGGAGCAGTTTGGTGATGATGAGGAAGAGTGGATTTGCTGTGATGGAGATTGTCAGATGTGGTTCCACGTTCACTGTCTTCCACCAGAGCTTGTAACACCAGCCATACTGGAGGATAAGGAAATGTTCTGTCCACAATGCACTGTAAATTGTACATTAATTCAGATAGAGCTTAAGATAGGGTATTGTATCCTGGTTTATACTTAATGACTTTTGAAGGCTGTAATCATTCTCAATGATTCACTTTTCCTCATCAATACTTTATTACTGATACATGTATTCAGAAGCCTATTTTACATGAAATGAAAGCATCTGCACAAGTTTAAGACTCGATCTATTTTTGTTCATTGCAGTTTGGGATAAAACGTGGAGGAAAATCTTTAAAATACATGTGGTTGATGTGATCGTGTTACGGTTATTTTCTTTTTCTGTTTTGAAATTTTTGTCTGCAGAAATCAAGAAAGGCCCAAGAGGAATATGTTCAGGAGTGATGGACAAGTTTCATTCCTATTTCAACGATGGACCAATTGCCAACTGCAAGCAGGCTCTCACTGTAGGCCCCACCTAAACAGTGTCTTCGAGAAAACTATAAATGTGGCATTGTTCCTTAGTAATCACCAGTGCGATCCCAGACTATGTCAGTTTCCCTTAGTTTTTGCCTCGTGTTTCAAGGCAATGCAGTCATTATTTTGTATTTATAATGGGTGAGACTTGTCAGGATTTTTTCTGAATTCAGGACTTTTCATCAGCATTTTCCTGATCTCAGGATTTTGTTAACAATCTCTTTTGACATTTTGAAAGTCCAGAGTTTACCTCTTAGATGTTTTTGCGTACAAAAAGTGATGGAGGTACAACACAAGAGATTGGTATTTTAACCCTAACCATCCTCAATCTTCCAAAATGCTCCGGGTGATTTTGGGGGATCGAGGTTGCATGCAGTGTGAATTATTGGAGGATTTTGGAGGATTGAGGGTATATCTCAGCCAAAAGGGCCTAAGCAGTTAGGGTAAAGGGGTGTCCTGACGCAAACACAAATGTAGACCCTAGACCCTCTCCTAGCTGTTTTGGGGTCCTCAAAACCTCTGGTGATTATTTCCTGGATATTTGATTTTTCTCCAATCTTGTCCCCGATATAACATTTTCCCACGTTTCAATTTCACATCCAACCCCCCCCCCCCCGGGAAAAAAACCTACACTTTTTTGTTCCATAGTCATTGGATCGTGTACATGTTTTATGAGAGTACCAGGCTTTTTGAAATCTTGGCTGTGTCTATCTGTGGGTTGAATTTGATCCTTGTATGACAATGTTTATAGTGTTACTCAAACATTGATTCGAGTTGACAGGGTTCACAAATGACCTTTTTAAATTCTGTTTGTTTGTTTTTTCATAAGAATTGTTTAAGTTGCAGCTTTTTGTTGTGGTTTTTGGTGTAAGAAACCATTAAGCAAGCAAGACATTACAAATTAACAATTTGGAAAGAAAATCAAGTGAGACGACATTAGTTTGCTCATGTATTTATAAATATATGGTGTACCTTGTGTAATAATTGGCAGAAAGCAGAAAAATATCACAGCACTAATGTAGCAATGCTTATGAAATAACCTCACCCTGAAACTGAATCCCAGCTGAATACAGGCGATTCACAAAACTGCGCCTCCAAGAGTTTGCAATGCTTTGGCCAATCACAAGGACTGAAGTTTGTCAACCCAATGCGCGCGTTTGGAAAGGGTCGACAGATTTTGCGCGTTGTGATTGGCCAACACGTTGTAAACTCTTGGAGGCGCACTATTGTGAATCACCTGTATTCAGCTAGGATTTAATTTCAGGATGAAGTCATTTCATAAGCATTTATTATGTTATAAATGCTGTACCCACAAAGAGGCCCGATAAGAATGCTCAAGACTGTTTATTAAAACAAACTTGGGGTGCTTTATCGAAATAAAACTTTGTAAGAAACTGGAAAATAATTTGTATGCACTTAATTCTGTTTTTACTTTCCTGTAACGTTAACCGCGGTATTTTTGAATTCTTCCACAAAATTTGTATACAGAACGCTGAGGAGTAAATCATGGGAGAGGAAAATGACAAACGGAACATTAAATATTTAATTTATATAAGTTTCATTAACTTTCTTTGAAACTACAATGGGGATATCGGTACCTTGGGAAGATTTTGACAAAGTACCTTAGAGCTCGATATCAGAACAAGTCACAAATAATGAAATTCTTGAGTATTTCAATTAAAAAATTGAACAAACACACACATGACACTTGTACCGTTTAACTTTAATTAATTTGCCTGCCACGGCTTTCTTTGTAACGAAAGGGGCAGTCCACTCCTTGTTAAACCGTACACACTTTTGCATTTTCAGAAGGTGGCGCACTTGACGAATTGTAATTAGTCTGGTTTCGTAACTAGCCTGTGAAAGTTAATACTACATGACATAATGGTACAGTAAAACTACCGAGACAGGGTACCGATCACATTGCAAAGAAACACATGGAAGGCCGTTCGATCAATGTTCTGTGTGCAAATCAGTGAGACAGTCACCGGCGTAACTGCCGATGCTAATCGCTGTCATGTCTGTCGAGGCAGGATCTACTGAATCTGCAGTTGTTTTGGAAGTTGAAGGGGAAGAAGAAGTAATCTCTGACGTGCTTGAATTTGATGTTGAACATGCCCGCCAGGATGACGCTCCCCATGTTAACACCGAAACTAACGCTAGCCCTAGTGAAAACGAAAACATGGATGGCATCATCAGTTCATCAGTAAGTGGATGCACTGAGGGAGATGACGATCGAGTTGACATGATTTCGAAGTGCGAGGAGGAACCAGGGAGATATGTCATCAATACTGTAGGTAAGGATATCAAGAAATAGGCCTAGGCCTACATAAATTTCCATTCAACAGCTAGGCTAGGCCTACAAATTGTTCAAACCAGTAAACATGGTCAACGGTCAAAGGATGGAACTGTTATGTTTCCTGATGGAGGCTTTGCCGACTATGCAATCCAGATTCAGAATTTCTTCTCAAGGGCTTCAGAGTGATCAACGAGTGAGTGGAACAGCCTCCTAGTTCAAGTGTTTGAGGCAAATCATTATCAACCTGTTCAAAAGTCTGCTTGATTCATATTGGGTTGAAAAATGATCAGCCTAAGGGGTCAGAAAGGCTTAAAGTGATTCTACTCCCATCATACCTTAAGCCTAACAGTCCCAAATCCTCCAATTTCAATACCATTTTATGTACACCCTTGGGGGTAAGGGTTAAGTGTAAGTGATGGTGCAGCATGGCTGGCCGTCTCCGAGAGTGAACTATCAACAATCACACAAATTTGCATCTACGTACATGTACATGAAGAAATTATGTCTAAAGTGACTGCGTGCAGAATCTTACTCTTAAATAAGCTCGGACTTCTGAGTACCCCCAGAACTGTGGGGTCCGACATCCGTTCCGCTCACATGTGGGAGTGGGGCGGACTCCACAGTTCTGGGTTAACTTCTGAGTGCTCACATCTAGGCCTATTTTATTTTCTGATGGATTGCTTGACATTTTTTTCAGTGCATTTTCCTTTGAACTCAAAAGTGAAAAAAAAAATCCAGGAGGCTAAACCCTAAACATGTAGTTTTTACCTCACCATAAGAAAAATAAGTGGTTGCCAGATACAGAACTTTTCCACACTAATTGTCATCAATGATTTAGTCTTTAACATTCGATGAGCCATCACTGGGAAGGTATTGAAACAAATATACCTGTACATGTACATGTAACTGTAATTAGAACTTCAGTTACTGAAGTTAAAACAAATATATTCATACATGTACATCTGCACGACAAAGTATGCACATACATGTGCACATACAAAGCATAGATGCTTTTTATATGTTGAACTGCACTGTCATACAATTATCTACAGATTAATCTCTCAAAAAAATGGCAAGGAATTAGTTTTAACTAAGCATACAGTATGTGTACATGTACGCTCTTTTAAGTACTGTGTTGTTCCAGACAGTGTTGGTTAATTGCAAATTGTTAGAAATGTTTCATTCATGTACTTGACCCGATATTAGCCCATTGCAACTTGCAAATACTTGAATGTTATGAAACCGTGCAAACTGTAATGGTAACCCATTTGACATAGGATGGGTATCTATTCTTGTCATTCTTATTTTCTAGATATTGAAACAACATCGAATTCAAGTCAACATTCAAGTGCGGCAGAGACGGGCCCTGAACCTGAGCTGCCATTAAAGAAATTAAGACCCGTTCGGCTGAAAAAGAAGGGCTCAAGGATAAAGACGCAGCCAGCAAGGAGAGAGAATGCAAAGGCTGCCTCCCCTAAGACCAAGAAGCATGTTAGCAAAAAGGAAAGACTGTCTTTGCAAGCCAAGCTCAAGAAGGAGAAGATCAGGAAAGCTAACCAGTACTTGCGAAGGGGCCTGGACAATCCTACCTCGGCACCAGAAGTTGCTGACATCCCTGAACTCGAGAGGCTCAAGTGTGGTCTTGAGGATTTGGTGTCGGGTAAGTTCAAGACTGTGTCAGATGCAGCAGCCTACTGGAGGGTCCATGCAGGAAAGTTGTATCGGCGCTACAGAGGGGACATACCTTGCGACTCCAGGCATGGACCGGCCCCAGTTTTGACAAGTGCAGAGGAGGAAGATCTGGCTCACTGGATACTCACAATGTCGCAGAGAGGTTTTCAAGTGTCCGCTTCCATGGCTCGAGATGCAGTGCAGAGCTTCTTTAAGAGAGACAACAGCCCCTTTATTAACGGAAGACCATCTTATCGCTGGTATTACAGCTTCTTACGGCGCAACCCTAAGCTTAGAGACATGAAGCCTTCAAACTTGGCCTTGTTGTGCGATGCCAATCCTTCAAAGGCGGTGCTTGATGAGTGGTTTAAGGAGTTTACATCCTTTATCATGAAATTGGATTTAGCAGAGAAACCTGGCCAAATTTTCAACTATGCCGAAACAGGATTTGAGATGAACAAGACAACTGATCACATTGTGATTTCCGCACAGCCATCGTGTGGAAGATCCAAGCCAACCTGCCTTAAGAGAGGAGTGATTGTAGGAATGTGCACCAGTGCTGATGGGCAACTGCTTCCACCATTCATGATTTACAGAGGCCAGAAACACATGCCACCTCATTGGGATCCCCTTGATGGTGCTCCTAGAGGATCCAGGACATTCCTCCTGGAGAAGGATGGGGAAAAGCAAGAGGCTTTCAGCCAATGGATGGAGCATCACTTCTTAAAGAATATTGGGAGGCAGCGTCCTGTTGTGCTTTTGCTGAGTAGCCACCAGAATGAGGTATCGTATAAAACGTATGTTACTGCATGCCAGAATGATGTCTATCTATTCAGAATTCTGCCAAAGGCTGCTTCCCTTCTCCAGCCTTTAGATGTTGATGGAGAGGCAGGAGAAGGACCCTTCAGGTCAGCATGGATCATGAAATGGGTGACCGACAACAGGACTGTTTCTGTCACCTTCCACAATGCTGCCAAGGTTATCAGCTCTGCTTGGAAGGAGGCTGAAAACTCTGAGGCCATACGCACTTGCTTCATTCAGTCAGGAATATATCCCCTTGATAGAGAAATGATTAATGATGACCATCTAGTTGAAGGAAACCTTGACTTCTTAAACAAGGATGCCCCTCGGTTTCAATTATCTTTACCCCTGCATGCCTCTCAAAATGATCATCCCACTTCTGACACCAGTCAAAGTGGTTATCCCACAGCTGACACCAATGCCAGTGTTGCAGAAGCTGTCTTCCATAGGCTAGATGAGAAGCTTGACAAGACCACAAGGGAGACGTATAGAACTTGCATCAAAAGTGGGTTAGACCTTGAGGAGACACCTCTTTTTTCTGTGTGGAAGAGACTATATCTGGACGCCTATCATAGTGACCCTCAAAAGTCTCCAAAGACAGGAAGAGCAAAGAGGCCAACAAGATCCAGTAAGAAGCAATCGCTGAGAGGTAGGAGGACTGGTAGACATAGTAAGGATGATGTGTTTTGCCCAGTCTGTGATGAACGCTTTGGAGATGATGGTGGAGAGGACTGGATTGGCTGTGATGGTCAATGTCAGTCATGGTACCATGTCAACTGTCTTCCCCCAGAGGTTGTCACCCCTGCCCTCCTTGAAGACAAGGAAATGATTTGCCCAGACTGTTTGGTAAGTACTAATACACATGAACATTCATTTTATATGTACTATAGTAACATTTTTAATCATTGTAAGAAACAAGAATGACTTTTCATCTTGGTTCTTGGTAAAAATTTAAAACCTTTTAAGGGAAAAGTGGTCACTGATATGGAACTCTAGCTGTCTCAAAGTCAGAAGACAGCACCCTCTGTGCTAGTCCTGAGTCACCTATTCATTTCTATTTGCCTTCGTTAACTGTTTGAATGGTCAAGATATCTCCTTAAACTATAAGGGTTCTCCTCATCTTTTCAACAGGACACGAGCCAAACATAAGATGTCTGTGTTGGAGAACAGATGATGTTGCTTCATTTCCTCACAGGCTGTGTTTATGCTTCATATGGATTCGTGTTCTCTGGAAACTATGGAGTGGTGGAATCAGAATATTCAAACTGTTGTAATTGAAGTGGGAAGACTCTTTGAGCAATCTGACGTAAAGTTGGAACCTCAGTCATTTCACCTGCCATGTGCATTAACATGTTCATTGAATTGACCATGGTGGCCCGACTAACACGTTAATAATTGACCAGAGTAGCCCAAATGTAAATGCCCACAGTGGATGCAAATGGTCAGGATTTTCAACCTTAATTTTTGACCAGCACCTGAAAAGTTGAAAGTTTTACGAATCTGACTGTACTTGTCTGTTACTTGTGTATGCAGCTTTCATTGAGTAATAATGATGTATGGACTTGAGTATACACTGCACTGGTAGGGTTGTAGAGAAACTTGCATTCAGCCAAACGTAAATAATATTTCAAAACCAAGGAATCTCAAATTGCAGGAAATGGTGGTCGTGAAAAAGTGAAGTAAATTTTTTGCCCAAATTGGGCTGACTTAAACCGTGGGAGGGGATTAAGCGCTTGTTGAGACTGACTCTGGACCAGAGTTTTCATGACTAGAAACAAAAACTCAAGCAATCTACATGTACTCATCCAGGAATGTGAACAATCATCTTTTTTTTCTGAATTTAAAGCTTTTAATGGTGTAAAAGACTATGACAGTTTGTTAAATTTGGAAAATGGCTGTACATTTTCAAGAATAAAATGTTTTCCACAACAGAAAACGTTATGCTGACTGATTCTTATGCGTGTAGTTTTTTTGGGGGGAGGGGAACATAAGTTACTTTTTAGTTGCATGATTTTCTCATTTTCATTAATTTTGTCATCAACTTTGTAGAAAGCATGTGCACAACATGCATAAGTAAATGTGGAGTCACAACGGTGGTAGAACTAGCCTTGGGTGACATTGGGGGGGGGGAACCCTGGAGTGAATAAGTTCAAGGGGCACGTGGATAAGTTGCTTGGATGGAAGTTGTGTATAAATGTTCAAATTGGGCAGGGAGAGGCGCCAGTGACTCAAAGTAATATCATTTTTGGGTGCACAATTTTAACTGGTATTCTTTTAATTATTCATAAAGATAATTCGCTCTCCACTGCGTGTTCCGCCAACCCTTACGCTACTGACCCAAGAGCGATAAAACATAGGTCCAAAGAGGGCGCTGTTTAATTTAGCAGTTGCTCAAACTTTAACTTTTTGGACAACTTTTTGGGTGCAGTGTCCCAATTCAAGGAAAATTCTCCGCCAGATCGAGGCGCACAAAAAGTACCCCCCCAGAGATTGTTTCAAAAAGAGGGGTCTGTTTGGGCCAAGAAATGGTGGGATTGTGTCAATATGGCCCAGAATCATCTCTGTCGATTCAGGGGCACCCATCTGGGGGCAAGCAGATAAAATGGGATTGAAAATTAGAAGAGCCCGAGGAAGGTGAGGGATGTCATTTGAAAAATGGCCGCTGGGAGGGCTTGGCAACATTCACTTTTTGGGGAGTGAGTTTGTTTTGGGCGGATAATTAAAAAATTCATTGGTTAACCTACTAAAAATTGAAAATCAAATGAAACCTGCAGGACCAAACAACACATTGATTTTTGTTTGAGAGGCCTCAGGGACTTCAGTTGCCTGCCATGGGGCTCCAAACTTGGTTGATTTCACACTATTTTCAATGGAGCTTGAATTGGTTCAGCTCAGTGCACCCTTCTGCAATCTGGTGGTCGGTCTTCAGCTTAGACCTTCAACGCGAAGACAACGCGTGCTCGATGGAGGTTGTAATCGCCATATTTTCTGAGGGACGTCTGTGGGCTGTTCTTTAACTGTGTCGGAGTTGAAAAGAGTTGGTAGTACCCTACAGGCTTTAAGAGTAAGTTATTGCTATACAGCAGTTTGTCTTTTCACTGAGTTAACAGATAGAGCAAGGAACATGACCAGACCGGGCCATGCAGGGTCAGGCTACACGTGTTTCCCCTCCCTTCTCCACGGTTACACGTGCGCCTTACGCGTACGGCCTTCATTATATTGCACGTCCGTTCGGGCCTAGGCCTACATATCCTATGGTGGGCTTGTGCCACCTGGACAAAGTGGTACACATGTACATGTACTCTTGGCATGCAGTTTAACATGTACTGTTTGTTTACGTGTTGGTATTCGTATGTGAAATGAAATTTTGAAGTGTGAAAAATGGAAACAAAGTAGGCCTAGGCCTACTTGTCATTGGAAGCAGCTTTGCAAATGGAATGCAATAATAAGCCGAAGTTATGACAGTGTCTTAACGAAGTTGAAGTAGAACTTACACATTTTGGGGGAATGCCTGTCTTACTGCTAGTCCAGTGTCCTAGGCCTACATATTAGACCAGAAAGCTGTGACCCAAGTCTTTTAGGGCTAATCATTTCACAACTTATTCCTAACATGATTAAAAAAGATGTACCTGGGTAGGAGTTCCATATATGGATGCCGGTAATTACTCCTACAGTGACTCATTAGCCAGTAGAAAGCAAAAACATGTCCACAAAAGTTCAATTTAGGAGGGAAAAAACGAAGTCGTTTACTTCACACTTAGATTTTTTCAGACCAGTCCCATACTGGTTTGTGCTCAGCGTGTCAGGTGTTGTCCGTATATAGAACTCTTTCCAATACCTGGAATATTAAATTGAAATTTCTTGGGATTTAGCATCAAACCAATTGGAACATTTGTTCATTACAGATGAATAAAACAAAAGAAATAAAATTTGTCACTAATTAATTATCATAATTATTATCATACATAAGAACGGGGCTGCCATCGACCAAGGAAAGATCAACTGAAGCATGTGAGCAATGACAATTATGATTGTTGTTGTGTGACCACTGGCTATTTTTCAGTAATTAACTGCAATATAACTTATGTTAACTAAACTAGGATGCCACTCACCCCCCCATAACTTGGAAAAAAAAGAAATTATAAAAAGTGAGAATTTGTGCCACTGAGTGAGGAATCCGTCCAATTATTGGGTCCAAAAAAGGAAGACAGAAAAATCCATCTTTATTGGCTGTTTCTTTGTTCATAACAAGTAAAGATTTGGCATAATAACACTTCAAATGTTACTTAGAATATAGTTTTGGATACAATTAGCAACCTATGTTGCCTATTTTAAAAGAACACTGTGCGACAAAATTCCACTAAAAATCGCTTTGTGATGCATTGCTCGCAATTTGCATTGTGCATATCACTTTTCGGTGAAGCATATAAAATTTGTGCAATTGGATAAATCTCAACAAAAATTCAACAAATGTAGATTAAAATATGCAGTTTATGAATTCTAGGGTTTTATTCTGATACCGTCCTTCCGGTAAACTCTCGATGAAATCCACGAGCACAGTTTCAAACGTCTCACAAAAGCAACAGTGCCAATGGTTTGTACAGCAGTGTATCACCAATTGTCGATAAAATTCTAGTTTCAAACATTCCCACCGTACTCTGGCAATAGGTGATGATCTGAAAGCACCGATACCAAAATAATCCATTTGAAGACACAATGCACTAAAAAGGACCAAATAGGGCACCTGCTATGAGCTGCTATTTTCGTACCTCATACTGAACGTGTAGCATGATGGAGCAAGAATTAAGAAAATGTAGGTTCTAAATTCTATAGCCGCTGTACAATTTGAAATCGCCGCCAGAAATTCAGATGTGTGCCACAGAAACCTTAGAAAGACATGCTTGGAAGTTGGAAATCGCATAGGAAACTACATGCGTAAGTGTACCAAGTGAAAGACAGAATCGTAAATAAGATGCTTCAATGTATATTTTGGGATGTACATGTGTTTGTCTACATTTTGGCTTTTTTCAACTCATTTTTTTACTTTAAACATGAAAACAATTTTTTAACATTCCAGACATCCACTAAAAAGGAATGAGGTTGAAAGGCTCTTCGTGGGCTAATTTTTTTTGGGGGGGGGGCTAGTTTGAAATTACTTCAAACTTCACTGACATGTTTACACTTAACATACATTGTAATTCTCTTGTCATTGCCAGTTTTCATTTTCTGGAAATGTCTCTGAAGCTGTACTTTTTTGGACCAGGAAACAAACAGAATTGAAGAACCATATTCATAAAATATCCTTGTGTAACCACTAGCCTTGACTGTACAAAGATGTGAGGGAAAATTGTTGGATTTTCATCCTCTAGGCTGTAGCAAGGTTTTTGTGATTGTCTCATTCAGGCAATCAGCCCTCTGTCTTGAAATAAGTCAATTAACATGCACCAGGGAGAAATGCACTGAGGATTCCCCAAGAGGAGAAGGTGCGCAGTTCCCACACTTTGAAAGCATCCAGACCTTGTCTTGTGAGACAAATATATTATTTAGTAACTCTCTGACTCTAGTGCAAGTGCAGTGATCGATCATTCTTCCCAGGATACCCAGTACAGGGACAGCGAACACTGTATCCATACCAAAGCGGCGTCCACACAGTACCTTTTCAGTAATTTTCCAGCCCTATGTGCACAGTCATGACAGTCCTGAGTTTCTGCAGACTGAGATTTAGCAGAGATTGTAGCAAGCCCCCTTTTCAAATGATTTGACAACCTCCAGAGGGGTTTTTGGCCCTGCATAAAAAGCACAGGTGTCCATCAAAGAGTGACCTTTTATGGTGTAATTGATGGCTTAACTTGAGCCAAGGTCGCTCCCAGAGAGGTTCAGGACCTTTTAGTTTTGTACTTCAAAAACAATTCTCTTGTCTTGTATATTTCCCCACAGGATTTTTAAAAAGTGAAATAAGCATTCTTTCTGTACTGGTGCCTATTCTCATGCCTTGATAAAATGGCCTTGTGCATATGTACATGTGCATGTACCGTAGGTTTGTTTCAACTCTGCATTTTTTAATTTTTCAATGTTCTGCTTGATTTTCATGGTAGAAATTATATGTGTCGGTAAATTATCAATTGTGATTTTTTGAGTGACATTTTCGCTGTCATATTTTAATCATTTCATCTTATAAATTGCATTGTGAAATTTTGCAGTTACATGTATCAAACCAGTCTCACAGTCAAGCATCATTTTCACAGTGGCCAACTTATCTAACCATTCAAAAAACACTTTTATGCATCAAGGACACAAGTCTGAAACTCAACTAATGTATGAACATAGAGCTAGGAATGCATGAATGTGTGAAGCTGAATGACCAAGAAAATTGTTCGGCCTAGAGCCCTCTCCTCCCGATAACTCAAACTACCCAAGGTGTTTACAAAATCATATTTTGGAGGATTCAGGACTTGCTACAGTGTCAGTGGCTATTATTAAAACTCTGTTTTTCTTTCTAGAACATGTATATATTGGGCAGAATCACAATAAATCAAGGAAATGATTACAAGAAGGTGTTTATTAAAAGTGCTCTGGTAAATCTGAATCCACTTCAAATTTCAGTAGTTGAACTATTTAAACAATTCTACCTATTACAGTAATTGTATTATGAAGTTCCCAAGAGGGCTAGTACAATGCCCGAGGGGATGTGCCAAGTCTTGGCATGAAGGAAGGTCTGGTGGTGAGGAAATGGTGAGGGAGATTTGTTTTAAGCTGAATAATGAGTTATGTAATACTTTGAATCCAAGAAGGAGGTTCATTCTCTCACACTCAATGTAATTGTACACTGGCCCCAAGGTTTTAATGACTACAGTGTAGGTGGGTGGTAAGTGGTCACATGTTTTGAGTGAGGAAAAACAGCTGCCTTTACCAACAGGGTGGGGGAGAATGGGAGGGGGGCAAGGGCGATTGATGTCATAATTCTATTTGTGCCGTCTTAATGTCGCCACATCAAAGTACATGTACAATTAATGTGTACCTGTAATGTACATTGTGTACAATTAATTAAGTGTACAGGTTCTTAGACCATGACTGAAATGGATTATCACTTCAGGGGTACATTGTATCTAGTCTGTTCTTTGCTCTATCAAAAGTGGGGACCTTCACAGTCAACTTACATGTACAGGTACATGTGTGGCGAACCTGGTTTCACTTCAAGTACTTGGGATCATATAATATGTTGTGGTACCGGTATCCTGGGAAGAAATATATCAAGTTATTCTACATGGGATTTATATATACATGTATGAAGCTATCAATTAATTCATTCCTGGCATTTTCTGGAAATTTCTTTTCTTGAAGTACCTGCCGTAGATCACTGGCATTCATGATCGAAATTTTATACATGTTACAGCACTTCACCATAAACTAATTTAAAGCATTGAACTATCAAACACAAGGAGTAAGAACGAAGACCCCACAGACCGAAATCCGATTAATTGCTCCGGTTGGCTTTATAGGCAAGGTGCAGTTACCAACCCCAGTGTTGAAGACCCTTAGACATTCTTTGTTTGTTTTTGTGCATTTCTTTATTTTCCTCTGGACCAGCTACATTCTTTCAGTTTTCTTGTGCGTATTTTTGGAGAATTTGTATTACATGTAGTTAGTAATTCTGTTTATTGTTAAGAGAGACGTTTTGGGGATGTAAAGACGTAACCAGACTTTCATTGTCATTGGAATATCAGAATAATCACTGAAATTATCTCTGATGATGATGGTTTCCATCTCAAGGTGGCCATGTTGAACATGCGGAAGTGTTACGGACACGCATGCACGGTACGAACGATCCTTTGCAAATGCAACTCAGAGCATTCCTTGTAGCCCGCAAGCGGCGCAGAATTTGTTTTGTCCTTGCAGCACGTGCAGTGCTGGCGGTGGCCACCATTGAACCTTTTGATCTCTGTCTGTGCTGACTCCTTGTGTTTAATAGCTCCACTCAGCAAGTTTGTACATGTTTATTCGTGAGCTTCATAGCTTACAAACAGTTTAAAGTGTGATTTTGCAGTAGCTGAGTGAGTTCTTTCTTGTTTGAATTGTGTGAGATGATTCAAAACCCACGTTAAGTATAATTGATGTCATCCTTTCAAAATTTGCTAAAGCTTTCTTTATGGCACCAAACCATGGTAATTATTTATTGGAAAAAAGAGCAAATATACATCGTGAAGTTAGTCTAGGTTACTAATTACTGGACATCACTTTATTTTATAACAGTAACTGTCACCACTGCTGACCCCACTGAGCTCAAGTCTAATTCAGCATGACGAGTGGGACAGAAGGCCCACTCTTGGAACTATCTCAAGATGGCACTGTCCGTACAGGGTTGTTTCCCTCTGAGTTGTGGATCCAGAAACAGAATGAGACACAAGATTCCCCAGAACTTCAGGCAGATCCAGAGGTGTGTCAGGTGTATGTACAGACGGGGCGTCAGTCATCTCCAGAATGGTCGACAGGGTTTCTTTCCCATGATGGCAGTATTAAAAATCTGAATGACATCAGGTCACTGGATTCGGTGTCAGCAGGTGGGATGTCTGGAAAACCACATCCTGTCATGCTTATCAGAGCGAATCCCATCTCAGACACTGATGATGAAACAGAGACATCTCCACTGGTACCATCTAGTGACGTTCTCCAAGCTCTGCATGCTGGTGATGAGGATGCCCTACAGACCTCAGGTTCTCCGGAATTACCTGCAGATTCACCTGAACTCATTAACTGTAAACCTGGTTTGCTCTCCTATTCAAAAAATCCTCACTTGGAAACTTCAACTGAGACAGAAAGAAAGCCATTGGAATCAGTCTTTCAACCATCTCCTCCACTGGTATTGCAGGAGACTGTCAACACGCCGACATCAGAATTTTCCTCTCTTTCCAGTCAGAGTTATTCTGAAACTGATTCAGCAAACTCTAAAATCTGCCCAAACCAGTACGTGGCTCACCAACTGTATCTCATGACCTGTGACCCCGAGCCAACTCAAGTCACACACACAACCTGCACAGTTTCGTGTGCTTCACCTGCGTGTAGGTTAAATGTACCGTCTCCCGTAACTTTGAGTAGACTGGTCAATAACATTGTCCGAGATGTTTCAGGGACTCTGAGAGACAGAACAAAATCTACATCAGCAGAGAGGGCTTCTGTTGCAGAAATCACTCCCTCCACTTATCAGGATGATGCCATACTATCTGAGTCTTCTCTCACAGCATTTGCGGACTTTTCAAGTCGACCGACTTTCCCCAGCAAAAGAGCCACCAACAATCTCAATAACAACCTGTCTCCCACTGGTGAATCTCCAATCACCAAACGGTTTTGCTCGAACGCAAAGGAGGTCATTGACAGAATATTGCCTGAGCCACAGCCTGTCTCTCTCCATCAAGTTGATGTTCGCCCTAGAAATGAGACACATCAAATGGGCAGTCCTCATTGCCAAGAGGCAAAAGTTCACCTGTGCCATCCCGTCAGTCTTGCAGGCATGCTTAGGCTTTCCTCGTCAGAAAACAAAAACACACCTACCTACTCATCGGGGATTCATGCACATGCCGTTATTGGAAAGGATAGGCATGAGCCTTCCATTCCTTACTTATCCTCCAATGTTGCATTTGGACATGTCCCAGCGTCACGCTTTGATGCAGCGGCAGCAAGGAGTGTGGATGTCGCCATAAGTGAAGATCAGCACACTGACTCCTTGATAACCCCTATGCCTGGCTCTCATATCGCATCACTTCCATCTCCCGTGGATTTCCAACCATGTGTGTCCCAGGCCTCTAACATCCTACATGTACCTATGGGTGCATATACCTTTCAGTCACCTCCGTTGCATACGCCTGCTGTTCACATGCCAGATGCGTTCCTGCTTGGAGAAACAAAACAGTTGTCACATCACTCAGCTAATTCACCTGCACGTGCAGTGCCTGATGTTCATTCACGTAAAGATGCAACATTAGATGCTCCGTGGAATTCTCCGCCCATAGTTGCCTTGGCCTCAGTTGCAGTGCCTACGATTCCTTCATCATCTCTATTGAGGTCCATGCTGTCAAATGTAGACTCCCAAGGGGTTCATTTCAATTCACTTTTAGCCCATTCGTCTGCCTCTAAGTCACCTAAGCATACGCCTACCGTATCATCATCGCAGAATCGGCAGGCCAGCACTCCTGTTAGTGTATCAGGCCTTGTTTCACCTTCACCTCGTCTGATTCCCCTCAATTCACCTGTGGTGCCCAAGAATATGTTGCCGTCTGCTTTATCCCCCTCCGTAACCCTAGATAAACCATTTAGATTACCACCGCCACCTTATCCCGGGAAAAAACCTGGTCTTTCTGTTGAAGAGTCTTACATGTATCCACACTCAATGCATAGTAGTAGATACCACCAAACGATGTTGTCAAACGATGTGATTTCTCCAGTACATGAGTCGGACCAGAAGCTTTTACGTACCGCAACTCGACCACTCATTAATTCTATTCATAGTCCAAGGATAAATACTTGCCATTGTGCCTATTGTGTGTCTGCATGTCGTTATGTATGTACAGCAGCCACAGCAAACATTCCTCCAAAGCGGGCCTCAAAACGCTCCAGGAGGAGAAATCCTAGCCAGAAGAAATCTCTGCCAATGCAAATGCGCGCCGCCCCTCAGGACGCCTCTCCCCAGCAAAGTGCTCCATCTGATAGGACCAGCAAGCTTGCTCAAACCTTGCCCGCCAGTCCCTCAGACGCATCACTTCAAAGTGCTACATTGTCTTCACAGTCTGAGAAGTATCTTGCCACATATCCCAGTGATGAGGAAGTCCTCCACCCTCATCCGCCGTTCACATCAAAAGGGGTTGATAGACTGCCCAACCCGATTGTTCAAACAGTAGTTACCCTTTCAAAAGCAGAGGTTGTCTCATTACCTCCAGACACGACAGCCAAGCCTGAGAAAAATCGCCCAGGGTCTCAAACAACCCTGATAACACCGCAGCCCTGTCTAAAGCAGATGTCCTCACCGGACCAATTGCAGCATCCTCAAGCGTCACTAGTTGCCCAAGAGGAGGTCATACCTGCACAGACACAACCTTGCGAAAAACAGGTGTTGTCACAACCGTGTGAGAAACAGGTGTTATTAATAGACCATGGTCCCAAAACTTCAACAGTACGTCAAAGGGACATCAACCCATCACTGACTCGCCCATGCAAGGAGCAGATGACATCTCTAGACGGAGTTCCTGAAGTTTCAAAAATACCCCAGGGGGACATGCACATCAAACCAAAACAGAAAATGCTGTGCCTGGAGCTTTGTCCATCATCCAACCAAGTTCCGGACACATCAACATCAAGTACCATCCCAGTACAGATGCAGCTTCTTGAGGAACAGTCATCATCATCATCAGACCAGGGTCCTGACACTTCCAGAGCAGCCCAAGTCCATGCCAACCCATCAGAGATACAGCTATGCCAGGAGTGGTCATCTTCAGGCAGAGCAGCGGAAGAGACAACAGCAGTAAGCACAGTTGAACCTCGTTAATAAGAGCACTGTGAATTCAAAGTTCTGCTTATAATAAGGAAATTTTTAGGTCCCAATCTTTTGTTCTTCATTGTTTTCATTCCTGATAATGCAAGGTTCCTTATAAAGCAAGGTAACTGCAAAATCCGTAGGACTTATCCGTAGGACAGATTTGTGCAACTGTGTCCAAAAATCACAGGTGAATGTTGTGCAAGACTTGGATTTGATTCAAATCCCATGCAAGCCTAATCTTCATGAATGTAATCTTTTACCCCACTTTGAAAGGACACCTGTTATCACATACTTTAAATTTAATTAACAAAGGAATTCCTCTACAAAAAATACTACAGAAGTAATGATGGTGCACCAAGGAAAATATACTCGTGGGCATTTCTCCATTTGTTCGGATGATCGCTGTTTCATCTAATAATAAGTTTATTTGATACAGACACGAGTCTTTTATGAGTGTCTCTTTTGGCGTACTTGTACTTTAAGGCCATGTCCGAAACGGGCTTCCAGAGCTACGGCTAGGTCTATTGTGTACGCATCTCCACACATTTCCAAAGGAGGGAAGACATAGACCAAGCTCTAGACAAGAGATTCGGATGCAGCCTAAGTCTGCACCATGCGGTAAAATGCATTGACACATTGTTTTTGTCCTCTTTCCGTCTTTCGAAAATAACAGGTATCTGTGGAACCTGGTAACCTCGTCAAATGCATCAACTGCAGTCAGATCTTTGAACAAGTATCCAGCAGCAGTCTAACCTGGAGAGATGTAAAAATCTTAGTAGGTCCCAAATTCTTCGACAAGCCATGGGCATTGTCAGGCGTCACCATGTGTCAGTCTTGCTTAACCTCCCTACGCTCTGTCGGCTGTTGTCAGCAGAGACTGGAAAAGATTAAAGCCTTGTTCAAGCAAGCAGCATTCCCGGAGAGCTACCTCTGGACAGGTTCTCTTTGCAAAAGTGGGAAGGACTTCTGCATGCATTGCGGTGGCACCTTGCTCCCCCATCCCTATCGAGTGGCCGTCTTCCGCCAGACCGCTGAGGGCTGGTTTCCTGCTGATGTTATCACAGCCGAGTTTCACCCCTTGTGCCCCCTTCAGGAGGGGCAGGATCTGTATCTCTGTACGAGATGTTACCACGACTTGGGCGCGATTCACAATGCCCTGAAGCAGGTAGAAGTAAGCTGGGCTAAATTTATGGAGAAGATGGTACCTTCAAGTTACCTGTATTATTCTAATCAGCTGCAGTTGCAGAGACAGGACTACGGTCGTATAGGAGGGAAGTCCTAAGATCCTCGTTTGATCAATGCATAACAGCTGCCTTTCCTCTGTAGATTTAGAAACTTGCCTATTGCAGAAACTGTACTCTCAAAATATCTCCTTTTTAAAGTCAACTTTGTGATAAGAGTGTAATCCTTTTCCCACAAAAATCGTATCCATGTTGTTTCCAATAGTACCCTTTCTCAAAGTGGAAGTCCAGCCAAGAGGAAGCTGTAAAAGGTACATGAAGTTGTTTGTTTTTTTCTTTAAATCATGTTGTTGTGGACCCTTCTGCTTTTTTCCAAACACATGTAATTGTTATCTTTGTGGTCACCTGCTAAAATCCACAATTGCAGCAGGTAAATGCACTGACTGTGTTCTGAAAAATAAAACATTGCCAGCCAGTCGGCTTAAGTGTAATGTTTTTATTTTAAATTGACTTATCATGATGGAAAGTGACTTAGATAAGAAACACCTGCAGCTGTACGTGCATCTTCATGTTTAGTATAAATCTCATGCAAGTTTTGAAAGTACATGTATTCTAAGAGTGTGCATTCCTTTCACCTTTGTTTCCTTTGTTTCGTTTGTAGCATTTAGCCACTTATATTGTATTTACTTAGCCACATATACAGGTGTTTACTTTTTTGTGTTCGCTAACCCTTCCTGTTACTTTAAAATCAGGTGAAGTGCATTATTATGGGTAATTCCAGAAATTAGGGGTCCATAAGTGTGACATTTTCGTGGCCCTGTTACATCTGACCTTTGTTATTTGACATGGAAATATCAGCGGAATTGATTTCAGACTATTACTATCTGTTTGGCAGGTAGTTTCCATTAAATTAATTCATCACTCTTGAAAATTAGAAAATGTGTTCTGAACTTACAAAATTACACATCAGGTGTGACAGGGACACACAAAACAATGGACCCCTAATTTCTGGAATTACCCTCATGTCTCGTTATATATCTCCTTTATATTTCTGTTTATCAGTGTACATGTACACGTAGCTACATTAAACGAACGCTGTAATCCTAAACAATAGATTTTCATGTTACCGGTAGTCTTGCCATAGCAGTAGTTAGTACTTGCCACAAAAGATATTCTTGATGCACATGTATGTGTTTGAGATATTTACCGTTACACGGATATGTACTGTTAATTCAGTATTTTTTGTACAAGTCAAGTGGTCAGTGCTTATAGGGGAACCAACAATCTAAAAAGCATCGCTCACTGTGTAATTCACCTCTCGTATTGATAAATAATAGAGGTGTCTCAGGTGATGTAATACGACAGGCAACTTTAGGCATTTCAGGGAGTGTAGCACCGTATGTCCGTGGAGGTGTGTGAATTTCGATTTCTGTATACTGTACAATTTTTTTTTTATTGGTACATGTAACTTCATGTACGCCAGAATGTTGAGACTTGGAAAGCACACGCGTTTCTGTACACATCTGTGTAAATCCAGCGTTGATCGTCAAAAATCATGTGACTGAAAATCCGCTGTGAGTACGTCATACACACAAGTACATGCACTGTATGTGTGAAGACATTAGCAAGAGAACCCGTGTGTGGACCAATGCGTGCACCCACTCCATTTGTTTCTACAGCATTTACTGGCTCAATCAACGTCACACATAAGTACGTGTACTCTTTACCTGATGCTGGTATCGCTTACAGATTTACTTGATATTTCACTCCCAGATATCCTGTCATCCTGTTCCTCTCACAGATGCAACATTGGCAACTTTACTTTTGGTTTTACACCTATATCAAATGGGTCTGTGCGAGAGGCAGACAAATTAGGTGCTTTATGTGTTTTAGGAAAATATTCCTCTGCAACCAAATTCCCTTTTTTTTATTCAAAAGAAGCAGAATTGTACAACTTTAACCCTAACATTCCTATATCCTTCAGGGTTAGGGTTAAAGAGAGATTTCGCTGTTGTGGAATTGTTGTCCTGAAGTTCATTTAAAAGAGACAGTGTACATTTCTTTCAATGAATATTTTGTCATTTTGGGTAAAATTAATTTTGAATTAGACAGTTTTGAAGTGAATATCACAAGGTCAACCCACTTAGAAAGAATATTTCTGTGAAAATTGAAAAAGCGTCCAAGTTAACATAAAAACCGAAGGTTTACCCGTTGGAAATTATATTTTGGCGAAATTTTGAATTGCAAAATGAAAACTCCAAGGTTAACCTCTTGCAGATGATGTTTTAAGTGAAGTTTTGAATGTGACATGCTAAGATGCAAGATCAAAGATTAACCCCTTGGAAAAGGTATTTTTGTGAATTAAAAAATTTCCGTTCACAAAACACTGTAAGGTTAACCCCTTCGAAATATTATATTGAATTTGACTTGTTTAAAATGAAAATCTCAAGGTCAACCCCCTTGGAAAGACAATTTTCGTGAATATCAAAAAGTCTCAATTTATGTAAAATTCCAAGCCGATCCCTTGGAAATAACATCTCGGTTAAATTTTAAAAATCTGAATTTCAAGCAAAACTCAAAAGGTACAAATGATCATTTCATAATGTGTAGTTGGATATTTTGAACGTAAGGTCAACCCTTTGGAGCAAATACTTTCACAGTAATTAAAAAAATGCCCCAATTTAAGAGGTACAGCAAGGTTAACCCCTTGAAAATATTTTGATAAAATTTGCAGATATTTTTGTAAAATTTTTATTTTGACGTTAAAAAAATGTGCAAAGGTTAACCCCTTAAGAAAGAATATTTTGGTGAATAACAGTTAACCCCCTTGTGATGAATATTTTCGGGAGTGTTGAAAATAATGTCCCAATTTAAAGAAAACTGCAAGGTTAATCCCTTGCATATGTAATTTTTACTAAAAGTTTAATTTGACTTTTTCCAAAAATATTTCAAAAGCTAACCCCCTGGAAGGAATATTATTTGTGATAAAGTTCTAGTTTGAAAGAAATTTGTATTTTTTATATATTTGTGTGAAATTCCTTTAAAAAGAAATTAAACTTACCAGGTGTTAATCGTTTTCAAATGTTAATCTTAATATAAACTTAAAAAAACAACTGGAATGTTAACCCCTTTTAAATTATTTGGCCAACCTTTGAGAGGCAGCTTTTTAAGCTACAAAACAATTATGAGAGAGTACTATCTTTGTAGACCATAAATGTGAAATTAAAAACACCCCAATTTTCAACCATTAACTGGGAAATTTTTTTTCTTTGAATACCTGATACCTTCGTCAAATTTCAACCACTAAAGAAATGCACTCGATGGGTGGATGATCACTCCTCTCTGTCAATCCTGGTCACTGCTATTTTTTCAAATGAATAGAAATCCAATGAATAATGCAGTGAATGTACAAGGCGAACAGTTGCCGTAAAATACAATATAAACTTCAAGAGAACGATTCCATTATATATACTACTCCAAAAAGTTATGGACCACTTTTGTTTTAACTTGTAATTTTTTTTCCATTTTCACTTTTTAACAAGTAATGACTGGGTTCCAGTTCTTTCATTTTTTGTTTGTCTGGATGGTGTTCTCATTGGAATAACAACTTTAAAAAATCTGCAATGAAGCAAAAGACATTCAGCAGTAGAATATCTCATATACAAAAGTATGCACAAAATAAAAAAAGTGGTCCTTAACTTTTTTTTGAGTAGTGTATTTCAGTTCATTACAAATGTCATTGCTGAAAATCTACAATCAAATATATGCGTACAAAATAGTATCAAAATTTAAAGACAAGAATCTTCACATCTGATCTTAAACAGAATTCGTTCTTCGTAAAATATAGACTACTCTTCAAAATATTAATTTTAAATTATTTCAATTTCAAATTGTACATATACACTGATGCTGTATTAAAACACCAACAGAAATGCCCTGTAATACTGTAAAATGTTTTGCAGAGTAAACCATTGAAAATAGAATACGTATCAATCAAGTGAGTATTCCTGCTACATATGTGCGCGTCACAAACGAAGCGTCCACAAGGCTACAGAGGATAAAGGACAATCTACGGTCTATATTTTTCTTCCGTCCTGAAACGGAAATATACTTGCAGAACGTTGAATATTTTGTTCTCCAACTTTAATGTCGGAGAACAAAATATTCAACGTTCTGCTGTACGAAGCCTTTTGGAATATTGTGTTAAAAGCATAAGAACCTTTCTTGAGTTTAATTGACATCAAGGACTTGGAACCAGTCCTGTCTAGCTGGAAGTGAAAAACTGCACAAGCAGCTGGACAACTGAACTGTCTAAAATTGTACATAGAACACACAACTAAAGAAAATCACAACATGTTAGGAACATCTGCACATGAAATGTATCAATTACGAGTAATTGGCTTGTGGGCGTCGCTTTGACGAAATGGATGGAATGATTCAACTGGACAAGGCTGCAGAATTCCTTTGATTAACATGCCCTGCAAACTCTGAAGACTTGTCCTCTCAACCTTGGAATTTGAGCCATCTTATAGGATCCTGAGAGGATCACATACATTTTTAGCGAGAGGTCGCTCAGCCCAGGCAATGGTAAAATATCTTCACTATTTGTGACCCGTAAATATCACCCCTTTGGAATGGAGTGTAGTATATAAATACAGTCATCTCATACTCCAAATATAAAAATTACCTCCATATACACGTATTTATGCCAATAAAAACTGAGGCTGTTATGGTCATTTGTGTTGGTTTTAGTGCAAACTCTTGACTTGTCATTTAATGAATGAGCTGATTTAAAAACACTGCTAAGACAACTAAAGCATGTTTACTCATACCAATCATAGACCTCTTTCATGGGGCAGCCATCTTGCTTTTCTACCATTCAAAGCAATGGGACCAAACTGAGGCTGGAAGGAAATATAGTCTGTTCCCTTTTATCTTCACGTATTACTCTCGCAAATGTGTCTACAGAGAACAAGACAAATATGGCAGCATCATGATAAAGATCTGTGGCTATGGCTGTTCACTACAGTATGCTTATGGCAAGCCTGAAGCCACAGCAAAAAACTCAATCAGATATGGCCTTGTAAACTAAGGCAGGTTCCTGAGGACTGTGTGGTATGTACATTTGTTGATCAAAACAAAGTGACAAGTTGCGAATTTCAAGCCACTACTCCATAATCATTCTCGTTGGAGTTGACAAGCAATGGTTTGGTTTCCTCATCAACCTCAAGGCTAGCTGGTACCCGTCTTGCCTCCGCAATGTCAGAATGTGGCCTGAGACGTTTCCATGATAATATGCACATGCCCTATAAGAAACAAGGGGGGGGAGGTAACTGACTGGATGTTGCCACATTACAACCTCCTGAGAATTGGTTTTCGATTAAAATTAACCCTAACAGTCCTCAATCCTTCACCTGTTGGAGGACTGAGGACTGTTAAGGTTAACAATGCATCGACCAGGTTGTTGAGCAAGAAAACCAAGATATTCGGAGTGTTAAACTAGCCTCATCTTCATATTTTTGGAAATTGTTCCGTACCTCCAAATACTACCTATAAACATGTCACCAAACCAGAAGATTTCTCGGGAAAGGTTTAAAATTAAAGCTAACTTCAAAAACCTGGCTATACCGAGTCAAATTATCTGATCCTTCATTATCTTACCCAGACTAAGATGAACAGAGCCATCATGATAGCTAAGGTCTCAAATGGCCAGTGTTCAATACAACCCGCCCATAGGGGGCCCATGATGGTGCCAACTCCGCCCAGAGACCGGCGAATACCCTGAGCAAAACCTGTGCAAGGAACAAGACAGTAGGCTTCAGTCTGCTAAAATAACAAGCAACACTATGAAGGATATTCAATCTTAAACTTTATCATGTATAAGTTGAACACGAGTTGGTTCAGATGTTTGGTCACAAGTGACTGAGACTAGGTTGAGGTCAGGGAACTGTCGAGGAGTTATCAACAAGCATAAATTTCTACTTTTTCCTCTTAATTTTCCTTTTTTTGGGGCAGCCCTCAAGCAAATCCTTCTGGTACATCGAAGTGTCAGTTCATTTTTATAGCTCACAACTTGACTTGGCAAAACTTGGATACCTTGCGCTGACTTTTGGTGGACTCAACTGTAAAGACGGACATGTTTTTATAGTCGAGCAACTGGGCTGGACCCTGGAGATTCCTTGTAAGAGTGTACGCGCCCGAAAGGCTAACAACTGATTGCAACTTCTTGAATGGCATGGGCTGGTGCATGTGTACCTCACTGGTGACAATGAGAAAAACACTAAACTGATCCTAGCCCCACCCTCACGTTAGCATGTACTGTGAATGATGTCCAACAGAAGACCCAACCAGTTTGTGCACATTCACACGAAAATGGCTTCTTTTGAGCCTCACCTTGGATGGCCCCTGGAGTGACCTTGGAGAACAAAGAAACAAGGGATATGAACAGGAAGCCCAAACCGGACACTTGAATAATGAAAAGGGTCACGAACCACCACAGATTTCTGCTTCTCCCTGGAAAAAATGAGGAAAAAAGGAACTTTTGACAGTAAATGTAAATGAATTCCGCATTCGCTCAGTTACTGTTGTTGTTTTTGTACAAAGAATACAATAAAAAGCCCTTGAAAATTCTGGAAAAAAACATGGAGTCCTGGAGTAAAACAACACTTAATGCACATTAAAATTCTTCAGACCTGAAGCATTTTGACAGAGAGGTAAGATCCTGGAAGACACTTACCTGGGATGGCATGAGGGTAGAATATCAACAACAGGATATATGGTAGGATCTCGAGTGTTAACGAACCGAAGAGCATGGTGCGGTCTGAGATTACCCTGCTCAGGCATCTGATGATGATTAAACTGACGAGAAGCTGGATCAAAGCAGATCAAGTCAAAACATGACAAACCACCCTTGATATTTACGGTACGTCAGTTTTCTGCTGAAATGAAGACTAGTTTAGAGAAGAATACAGGACAAACTTCTCTTTGGTCAAAGTAAAGGATGTATCAATCCACTTTTTGTGCAGGCACGCAACTTGGACTTTTCAATTTTCAAAAGTTGCATGCCTGTTCATGGATATTTCTGCCACTCTCCAGTTTGAAAGCACAAGGCCAGAAGTTAGATCTTTACAATCAAGGACTATCAACCCACCTCTACACCAGCGACAGCGTACAGGATGCTATTTTCAACACCACCAAAGTTCAGCAACTGCTTCGTCATTACCGTCAGACCAGTCTATATATAAACAAGATAAAGAGACACGTAGTTATTGATCCATTAATACTTGCCTTGATACCGCCATGCGCGCCTTGATAAAAGGCTAGCCGTGATTCAGCCCCAAGGTGTTGTGCGTCTATTCAACATGTACTGTACACATATGCACTGCATGTGTTGGGTTTGCATACAACATGACACTATCGTGCAAGCGGCAATGAGGTACATAATTCTCTCAACTCAGTGACAATAAAGGCAAACAACTCATACAATTACCGGCATTGTGTAAACTGAAGTTTTAAATTTTAAGGATGTAGACTGATTTTGTGTTGTTATGAGCAGGCCTAGGGCTTACATCCTCTTAATGTTGCATTTTCAGTTATCGTCGGTAAAAACATTGGACATCGGATCGGCAGTTAAAACCTACATCGGTTGATCCCAACTTGATACCGCATGAAACCCATGATTTTGGGTTATCATATCCACAAATCTTCAACTAGATTCTGTTGTATTTGAGGCAATAGCAAGTGCAGTATGGCTTACAAAAATTCCCAAGGCACGGCAGACTTATCTCTGAGGCAATGCAGGCTTACCTCTAGACACGTTTGGTTGAACATGAAGACAAACTGAGCAGTTAGAAGAACCAATACCTCCTCCTGAAGGAAGACTGTAATGAGTAGGGGGGCATCAACAAGGTAATGTACTCGGTACAGTGTAATTTTACTCAACACCCCAACAGTAAAAGGCAGTAAATTGTCAGTGAAGAAGGCCTGAGCTCTGTTGCTGCCAATGAGTTTGCATGGGATCGGATATGAACCCTAACAGTCCTCCAACAGGTGAAGGATGAAGAGTGTTAGGGTTAATGAAATTGTGCTCTCCGTGTTCACTCAAGACCGCAATGGTCAAGTACAAGATGACAGTCACCGAAGGAGACCTTAATCTCTCTGGCTTCCCTGTACCCACATTCAGTAGCATTCTTGACATACATGTAAGTAGATACCATACATGTACATGTATGTCTGTGCGCATTCAATTGCAAATAAATCTCACTCTGTGCTGCATGCGTACACGTGAAAACCAGAGCATTTAAATGGCTGTCACGCCGTGTGCCCACAACACAATTATGCAATTCATGAGTCAAGTTCAAACTCCCCCCAAAAAACATTTCCTTCCAGTACAGATAAGTATAAACACAAAAATAAAAAGCCTTTTTTCAACCACCTGTAGAATGTGCTCCATCAACCGGAAATAAGCCATTTGTGAGTAAAATTTGAATAAAATCTGGTGCACTGAGTAATCTGACTGCACATAAACATAAGGATTTGAATTCCTCAGACTAAAGACGCTGCTGCTATACCTCGTGATTCAGGGCAAGCTTTCACATAGCGACCACCATCTCTGGAATAGACTGGTTCCTTTGTGCCCTCCTTGTCCATTGAGAACAGTGGATTGTTGCAAGGCGTCTCTTATGTAATTAAGCATAACCTTGCCCTGAATCACGAGGTTTAGCAACAGTGGTTTTAGTAAGAAGAATTCAAGTTATTATGTTAACGTAAATTTAAAGAACTCAGTGTACCAGATTTGGGTCAAAGTTAACTCGCAAAAGGCTTATTGAGCTTCAGTACTTGCGAATGCTATGCCCTATCAGGGCTGAAAAACTGCGAACAATTCCAAAGGGCTCATTTTTTTTGGTATGAGAAACCCTGTCAATATATCCATCTTGATGACCAACAACACAAGAAGATAAACTCACCTTGAAGCCTAGAGAAATTCTGTGTTTCTCCATTACCATCCGAGCTAGTCTCTCCATACTTTTCGACAGCCTGGTTTAATACACGTCCACCGTTAAGTCTCTGAGTTCTACTTTGCGACGAGTCTGTGGTGTATGAGTCATACAAGCCACTGTCGTCATTTGCACCTTCATTTCTGCAAGCGTAGCTATCGTTGGTAGGGACTGTGGGAACTTGCGCATTCCCAATAGAGGCAGCGTCCGATTGGTCTTCTCCATTCTCGCTCTGGTTTTGTTCGCTGAGAGGAGGGATGTCGTAGAAACAGAAAAGGGTGACAACCTCCAACAGGACGAAGAGGATGCACATCACAAACTGAGAGGAAATTTGGAGAGGAAAAAGGGTACTTTGATGAGCAGCAGAAGTAGAGGATTAACTTTGAAATCTATTTCTGGTCAAGCTAAAATCATCCCAAGTTACTTCTTTGTCGAGCGTTCGAACTTACCCCCGGTCCTGTGAAATTATTGACATGCAATGGCCCGATGTAGAAGTCACAGATGTTGAGAGGTAGATTGAGGGCCGGGCCCAGTAGCAGGCCAACTTGCCGGGCTGCTGACGCAATAGACAGGGCTGCTGCTCGGTCTTTCTCAGTGGACGTCAGAGAGATCTGTGCAAAGATGGCTGACCCCACACCAGCACCAACCCCTGCGTTGACAGCAAAGAAACTATCAGAAGACATGAACGGATGAAGTGAAGCCTATATGTACCATGTATATGTACCCGGTCCTCAACAGAGGCAGATGCCTTAAGCTGGCCCAATTTCAAGGCCGGTCCCGTGAACATTTTCTGGCAAAAACAGCAAGATATTAGCACTGGCAAAAATTGCTTTAAAGTGGTAAAAATCTCCAGAAATCAACAGCAGTTTCAGCTCAGCCAGAACTGAAGATGTCCTTCAGGTTAACATACTAATTTCTTCCTAGAGCTTAACACGTTGACTGCCACACATAATTTCAAAGAGGCATTCCCATTTGCCAAGCGTTTTATGCATATGCAAATATTGAACAGGTACCTTTCACGTGTCTAGTTGAATACGAGTATTTTAATACAGGTGTATGTCCCCCCACAGCCAGCAGCGCCTTTGTTGTGTTCTATGGTGATGCCAAAGTATTCACTTTACATTACAATAGCCTTTCATTTCAACAAATAAACTAATAGCAGAAGAATGTGTTACACCTGTTACTACGAGTATGCTCACAGCTGGCAATCAACTTATAAATAACCTTCCAACTAGACAACATTTTGGATTGACTGATAATGCAACAACCAGTTCATTCCACTGTTCACTTTCTTACCTGACATTAACCTACTGCTGAGCAGAATATATTTAGAACCTCCGTAGAAGTAGAGAAAATTGCCTGCGTTGGAAACAAAAGAGTGCTCTTGAGTTTGTCAGCTGGGAAATTTGAGGAGGTTGTGTCAAGGTTGATGAGGTTAACATGGCGAGGGTAGATTAGACTCAGGATGGGTTGGACTGGGATTATGTGGGCTGGTTTGGAAAAAGCTACATTTATTTATTAATGAATTTATATCTGATCCTTCAACAATGCATTCAGTGCCAATTACAGGATGTAATTAAGTAACACTTCAGAAGACAATGAAAAAATGTTCAGCGATAGAGCTGGGAGGAAAACTCTGGGCAAATGTTCCAGGGAAAACCCACAGACTCTGGTAGGGACTGAAAACCCATTCCACATGTGACCAAGCTGGATTCGAACCCAAGCCCCCAGAGGTGCAAGCGATGAAAGGAACACGATACGCCTTCCTGACTCCTCATTGTACAGTACGTGTACATGTACAGTACATGACGGCTCGGCTTAGCTGGGTTGGGGTGGGCCAGGCTGGAATACACGTACATGTACCGAACCAGTAGGTTGGGTTGGACTGAGTTTGGTTGGGCTAAGCTGGGCTGGGTTGGGATGAGCTAGGCTGGGTTGGCTGAGGTGAGGTGAGTTGGGTTGAGCTGGGCTGAGCTGGGCTATGCTAGACTGGGGTGGGGAGGTGTTGGGCTGAGCTAAATTAGGTTGGGCAGGGCTGGACTAGGTTGGGGTGGGCTTGGCCAAGGTAGGCAAGGATTTGAGCTAAAATGGGCTTTGGTTGTCCATAGCGCTGAACAAGGTGACTGGAGTTAGTACCGGGCTATAATAGTACAGCATCCATCATTCACACTCACCCCCTATTTCCCAGAGATTCGCAAACAAAATGAGAATTTTGGTTTTCTTGAAGCGGTCCTGGATGAGACCGTAGAGGGGCGACATCAGCAGCCCACTGAAGCTGAATGCAGCCATGACAATGCCAAAGAACGTGGCATCGCCGTCCAGATGGCCCAGGTACTCATTGAGTGTTGGCAGAACAACAGCTGGAATTACAAACCAAGACAAAACTAAATTACAACTTACTACGAGGAAAGAAAACTACATGTTGTTTCATTAACAATCAAAAATTTCCTTCAAGAACAGAGTTTTTGAACAGGTGGAGTAAGGGTAGAGCTACAGACCTATCCAGAGTTGGGGATTCAAAAATGGGGTGGGAGGAGATATTATTTTAAGAAAAGGGTAGCAAATGCCCCCTTGCCTACATGTATGTCAGGTAATGGTTTGTATTACTTTTTACATCATTGAATTCGTAGCTGAAATGGAATTGAGGCCGTGTCCGAAACGGGCTTCCAGAGCTACTGCTAGGCCTATTTTCTGCACGTCTCCACACATTTCAAATGGAGCGAAGACATAGACCTAGCTCTAGACAAGAGATTCAGATGTAGCCTAAGCTGAGCCAGCAACCTGGAGTAAAAGGACTCTTCTTCAAAATACAAACTGACAAAACTTGGACTGATTTTTCAAGTACATGAACATGATGAAGTTATTTTTTGTCTTATTGTGTAAGGGCAGGCTGTACATGTTGGTTTGACAAAACAACATCAAGTTTTCAAAAGTGAAAAACAAGCCATGGTAAAAATAAAACCAAAATTATTAAAATGGCTCGATAAAGCTCTTCAGATCTTAAAAACGCTGCCCAGAACAAATTCCTGCCAATTATTTACAGATGAGATGAAGTGAAAAACCAGATATTCATGCTTTCTGGTATCAGTTCTCCTTCAGGACGACGAGAGAGGCACGGTAGACATGTACATGTATTTATATAAGGATTTCTTGTTATCAACCCCAACGAAAACAGATAATCTCACGTAAGGCCATCCTATAATTACAACAATGGAAAGATATTGCTTGGAATCTCTGATTAAAATCTGACGGATGATTGCTGAGAAGGGCAGGCTTTCATGACTCTGTAATTCAATAGGAAAATATTTCTCTACTTCTGTTGGCACTTTTTTCTATTGTGTGTATGGTACATGTACAGGTGCATGTACAGGTGCGATGGTCGATCCCCTGTAGCCTTGAATATTACACCCCCTTGGCATGCATCAAATTTGTGCAGTCTGCCATTACAGCATTATAAATGGCCCCTTTTGTGGTGCTGATAAGAGCACTTTTGGGGGCTTATGGTTAAAACCCTAACCATGCTGAACCCAACAAGGTTATGTAGGATTTCAATGATCCCTAGGGGGTTAGGGTTTATATGAACATCATATGCCCAGTACATGTACAGTACATATCTGAATGCATTTATGTACGTATAGGACAGAGAGAGAGGCAACATGGGTTTTGTACACTACTTCCTTTCTTATCCAGATATGATCTGGGATCAAAAGGGAGGTCATATCATTATGCAACTCACACCGACACTGCACATGTTTATCCTTTTATTAAACCAAACTCCTTAGGTACCATACACATGTACTGTACATATCTGCTAGGAACCTACATGAAGATTAATCTTCACAGGGCACCAACCCCGGGAGGAACATTCCTCAGTGTATTTGAGCTTTCAAGGAGTACTTCACTACTTGTGTAATAAGTGACAGGCTGGGCTCACATGTACCTTCCTCAATCCTACAAATCCAAACAGAAACTTTTGAGGGTTGTTTCTTTTGTATTGTCTTGTTTGTTTTTTGTTATGGTATATGCCTGACACAAGCTCTGTTTTAAGGTTTTGCCACCTCTAGAGGCCTGTTTATTTCATACATTGTTAGTACCTGCACATGTATTTTGCCATGAGGAGGAAATCTAATTGAACAGACCTGGGCTGCATGGAGCGCCCTCACAGAGGACACGTTTCTTATTTAGATTTAATGACAATGAAGAGATATAGGGTCTACTCAAGCATATCAAAGACCTGTCCTCTGTGAGGGTGCTCCGTGCAACCCCTCTATTGAAACTGAAGTGTTTCTACAGATCTCCACCGTTTGTACTAAGTTTAAAAGTACAATTTTTGTGACTGGCAGTAACATGCAAACACTTTGCGGTGGATAAATCATGAGATCAAGTACATGTACTTCAAATCAAAATAATCCTACGAGATCAACGCAATGGAAATCTGCTACATACATTTTCACAAAATGGTGAGCATGTTTCCAGACCACACACACTCGCACAACCATAAAAATACATGTATTATTTACATTATCAACACGGCTTGTAAAACTACAATTTATTATCTTATTCTGTCATCAAGAAACTACCTTTGACCCTCTCAACCTTATCATGAAGTGTTTTTGACATATTTCGTCAAGCTGAAAATAAAGCTAAAGCTTAATCATAGGGTTTGTGCACAGAGTACCAAGCGGCATCTTTCCAATTGAACCTTTGCGGACATGTTTTGCTTTCTGGTGGCAAATATACATGTGGTACTAGTAGGCCTACCATGCCTTGATGTAGGTCACCGAAGGGAATAATAACTGGCACCCGTATATGGCACTCTGGCCTGCTTTTTTTTTTTTTAACTTACTGCAGTCTCAGAAAGTGTTGCTTGTAACTTCTGAACTTACATGACTTAAGAAGCATTTATAAGTGACAGACTGACAGATTAAATACAAGTGAAATTCCTTCAAATTTTGGCGCACGTGCATGTGGGCAGGGTCTAGCTAGAACAAGCACATACATGTACAGTACGTGTAGGTAGCCTACTTGAAATTGGGAAAGACTGCCGTTACTCTCACTAGAGGAAGGAAAAGCCACAACCACACCGATCATGCTGATAATGATGCAAATGGGAGCTGCACCTGCTGAACAGCTGACAATGTGACATGATGCATACTTACCGTATTCAATCCCACCAAATAAAAAGAAGACTGATTGCGCCACGAATGTGAGTCGCTTCTTGGTCTTCAAAGTCATCCCCATGGCTCTCGGCTGACTGGACTGGGGAAGTTTAAACGAATATCACAAATAATGTTCCCCTGACTTACATACATACCCAATCTCGATACAATCACATGTACTAAAATTGGCACTGTCACAGTGCCCACGGCGGTGCCGGTGCGTGTAACGGTACGGCGCGGTAACGGTGGGCCGGGCCGCCCCGCGAGCTCGAGCTTCTTGAGGGCGCTGTCCAACCTTGCTAGCTCAAAGCACTAGCACGGAGGAACAAAACTCGTCTCTATGGTGGTAAAGGCATGCCAAATTTGAGCGTCCCAACAAGTTTAAAATTGGAGGCACTGTTTTGGTCTTCCCTTTGATTTTCAATTTTCATTCAATGATCGATCAAAACTTCAGAAATTTTCCTCAAGCAACTTTCAAAAAAGACCTTTCGAAGTTATATTTTTTGGGGGGTCCTGTTGGCAGAAGGCCTCTGGACGGTCCCAATTACGGGCCATACTTGACCTTATCTTTCACTTTCAAAGCTTTCAAATCACACAAATAAACCAATCGTGCACTAGTCTGTATTATGTCACCCAACCCATGACTCATTAAGGCGCCTAAAAGGGTGGTATCAAAACACCAATCTACAGTTTTTCAGAAATACATGTAGAACTAGAACATGCTGCAAAATGCTTACAAATCACATTGTACTAATTAATTAAACCAAAGAATAACCATTTTAATTTTGATTAATTACACTACTTGAGTTTTTATCTGTATCTTGAAAATTATTTCGAATGATGAAAACAAAAGACTTTACAACAGACTATCAAAATACTGTTTAAAAACTAAATAGGCAGAGGTATTTTGAAAATTCAGATCTATTTTATATTCACAGAATATATTTTTTCAAAACTGATTGACCTTGATAGTAATGTACAAAATCTCAAACGTGGAACACCTCGTTTAAAATTAGCAATGAAAAGAAACTTTTGTGCACAAATTATTTTAATTTCTGGAAAGAGATTCTAAGATTAACAGTTAACCTTTATAAAGTAAAAAAACAAAAATGACATAAAAAGTACATGCCATACTTTGGAAAGTGTTCAAAGTAAAAACTACAGAGTATTTTTCTCTATTAGGTTGTTGGATTTCTCTAGACAACAACAGTATTTTTGACATGGAATCGCAAACAGAATAATTTCCAGACTCAGGCCTGAATCAAGTAGTGAACCATACCCATTTGCAGGGCACAGTGATCTACGGAGGCTACTCAGGGACTGAAGCATACCCATTTATCGGGCAGGGTGATCTACGGAGGCTACTGAGGGACTGAAGCATACCCATTTATCGGGCAGGGTGATCTACGGAGGCTACTGAGGGACTGAAACCTACCCATTTGTAGGGCAGGGTGATCTACCGAGGCTACTGAGGGACTGAAGCATACCCATTTGCAGGGGATGGTGAACAATGGAGGCTACTCAGGGACTGAAGCATACCCATTTGCAGGGGATGGTGACCAATGGAGGCTACCGAAGGACTGAAGCATACCCATTTGCAGGGGATGGTGACCTATGGAGGCTACTGAGGGACTGAAGCATACCCATTTGCAGGGGATGGTGACCTATGGAGGCTACTCAGGGACTGAAGCATACCCATTTGCAGGGGATGGTGACCTATGGAGGCTACTGAGGGACTGAAGCATACCCATTTGCAGGGGATGGTGACCTATGGAGGCTACTCAGGGACTGAAGCATACCCATTTGCAGGGGATGGTGACCTATGGAGGCTACTCAGGGACTGAAGCATTTAATCCAAAGTGAAGTTCTTGCCTCATTTGATCCTTCTATGGTTCCTTCAGAAGTGTGGAGAGTAAAAGAAAGGATGGCTGTTTCTTCAAGTTTGTGTTACAAAACTGAGGCTTTCCGTGATGAGGAAACTTAAAAATCTCCCTGTTCATCCTGTGACAGACATTGTCTCACCTTGTTACACTCCTCATCTATCCCTCAACCCACTGACTTGCCCATTAGAGAGAGACTCTTTCAGTCTCAAGTTTCTCAGTTAGCATCTTTTCTTCTCTTCTTGCCACCAGCAGAAGACCCCGCACCATCGCCGCCTTGTTTCTTCAGTTTTCCAGTCACTTTGTCCCCACCACCAGGGGATTTCAGAATGGGCCCCTTGGGGGAATGAGTCCTCTTTTTCCCTTTGCTACCTTTCCTTGGCAGGGATGTGTCGGGGGGTTTGGAGTCTGACTTTGGCCCGGGAGTCCCTTTTCCTCCTTTTGACGTTTCCTTCCTTTTTCCGCCAACATTTTCCTTGTTTCCAGCTCCCCCACTCTCCACGCCCTTCCGTTTCCGGCGGGCAAAATACCTGCTCCTTTTATGGGCAGCTGTGTGCTGTACTATAGCTACAGGCTCGGGGTCTGCTGCCTCAGCTTCCTCTGGACTTTGAACAGCCTCCTCCTTTTCTTCACTGGCCGTTGCTTTCCCAGTTTCCTCATCCATGTCTACCTTCTCTGCATCCTCTGTTATGAGGACAATGAAATTAAACAAAAGAAATAAATAATGTAACACATTGAATGTATTTTCATGTAGCAACTTTAAACTACAAATGCCTCACTGGGTAAGAGAATCCTTCCAAAATTTGTACAGGTTTCAAAAGTCTGATTTTTTTGGAATATTTTTAAAACAAGACAACTAATTTATAATTCCCACATTAAGTGGCTTGTATGGAAAACTGTTACTTTGTTAATTAAAGACGGGGTGACAGATCGGTTTTTGTCAAGGGAATGCTGATTCATAGGCAAAATTATCAAGAATGATACAATTAAAGTCACCTAGGAAAGTTTCATTTCCATACAGTACCTACTTCTTGAGAAAGCAGTAAAAATTGTCACAGCAATCCATTAACGATCAGCGAGACAAAAAAGGAACTGTGATTGTAATCGTAATATTGCCACCTTGGTCAACAAGGGATACTAACTGTATACTGGCCACTATTCTAAATAAGTTTTCACTCGTGCCCGACTTCAGGCAAATTTCCAAAAGGCTGAACTATTAAGAATTTTGAGAATTACCCCCTGATTGGACCAGTTCTAACCAAGGAGAATTGGTGGGCTGATTTTGCCCGAGCATGTTAAGACACGTTAACGGTCACTATGTTTCACATCCACAGCCCAGCAAGACAGTTTGACTCACCTGCGCCTGGTATCTTGTTGGAGTATTTCTTGAGTTTGGCCACAAAGAAACCATCCATATTGTGGGTGTGTGGGTAGAATCGGCGGGTCAGCTTCACAGATGGATGGAAATGCCTCTCCTTTATCCTGAAGAAGGAAAGTTTTCCAAAAACACAGGAGATTGAGCATAGACCTTTTCAACTCTAAAGGCCCGTATATCGAGCAAAAATGTGACCTAGCCTTTTTATCTGTCTTGCCCTGCGTTGAAATCTTCTTGCACTTTTGGGCAGTAGACCGCAGAGGGCAAAAGGACAATCAACGAGCTGAAGATGCCATTCGTACAGTGAGTAAAAGTGTCATTTATATGGTCCAAGATGTGGGTCCTGTGTGAGATTTCATGAAATGAGAAATAACTTTCCCAGAAACAAAATGGTTCATTTTGCAAAGAAGTGGAAATAGGACAACATGCAATGATACAGTGTCTCGGAGGTGGAAGGCAAAACTCGTTACTTTTTTTGTTCTTAACTGATTGTTACCAAAGTGAAACAATGAGTGCACACTTTTTGCTGCACCTACTTTGTAAAGCCTTCTTTGCCAAAGTCCAAACCTGTTGGAACCACCTTGATGCAGCGTTTCTTCAAAGCGTAGTCTATCACGCACTCATTCTCCTCGACCTTTAAATAAACAGATACATACGGTCACATATCATGTATTTGTATCTCTAAGTGAAATAAACCGGTAGATTATTTGGTAAAGTTTTCAAGACAAAGGCATTGAACATTTCAATACCAACCAATAGGGACTATATTTGAGTTGTCTTTAACCCTTAGATAGATGATCATTGGAAACTGCCTTGCCCTGGAACATAAGAACGTAGGAAACCCTGTGAAAATACAATGCCTCTAAAAGAGGAACAAGGACTCCCTCGGGTTTATTAAAAAATAAAATCTGACCCACCATGATGGAGCATGTTGAGTAGACAATATAGCCCCCGCTGGATGACTTGGCATCCACAGAGTCGATGGCTGCTAGAATCAGCTGCTTCTGGAGATGAGCACACTTCTGGATGTCCAGGTGATCCTTGCTGGATTTGACGGATTCATCCTTAGAGATGACGCCCGTTCCGCTACAAGGAGCATCCACCAAGGCACGATCAAAGCCTCCGGTGATCTAGAACAACAGAGAGATCAAACTTTTGGGTTAAACACCTTGGAAAACAGGTATCCAAAAGGTCTACTTTGAAAGGTTAAAAGTCATTTATAGCCCTCAAAAGCCATCAACCCACCTTGGGGAACGACCGGCCATCTTCGTTGGACACCACCGTGTTGGTGATGCCACAGCGATGGATGTTGCCTACTACTGCTCTGACTCTGTCTTTGTTAGCATCATTGGCAAACAGCAGACCTGTGTTCTTCATTAACGCAGCTTGAGGACAAAAGACAAGAGATTCTGTCATCTTCATGCATCTTCAAAACCGGACTATCTTTACTGACGAGCTGAAGACTTTTTATAGCATAGTGCACTAAACACAACCACTTGATACCTATTGTTCCAATTTGGTTGGATCAGAAAATGTGTACAAACGGACCACAAATGTACTCTCTTACCAATGTAAGTTGTTTTGCCACCGGGTGCAGAGCACATATCCAGGATTTTCTCCTTCTCCTGAGGAGCGAGTGCCATGACGGGTAGGAAGCTGGATGCTCCCTGCAGCACATAGTGACCGGCCAGATACTCAGGGGTCGCACCTATTGTTAAAAGAGATGCGAATTCTTAGGCAACAGAATTACAAATGTTCACGATACAATTCGGACATTTGTGACCTGCTCTAGGAAATAACCAGTTCATAACTGAATTTTCAAGTGCAACGCTCACTGTCTTCGAACCCAAGATAACAATAAACTTTTGCGCATGGGCAAACTTACCGATTGGAACAGAGGAATCGAAAATCACCAGACCGACCTTTGACCATTTGGCCAAGGGATCAAGGTTCACGCCCCTGTTGATGAGTGCCTGAAACAGGTTAACAGCAAAAAGTTCAATGGGACAGCAGGTACTGACTGTGGAAAATAACACGTATCATCAAAATATTAATTTCTTGAGCAACTCCTGAAATATTCGTGGGTCTTAAGGAACATACGTTCTATAAAAGTGAAAATGAAGCAAGAGGAAAGTATGGGTGAAGTGTTTTGAAGGGGAGGGAAGGAAATTTGTTGGCACCTGAGCAAGATCCCTACGTCTCGTCTTCAGCGTGTTGGTTCGTATTGTGACTGGACGTTGGACCTCATTCGCTTCCAGAAACTCAATCAGCTGGGATGAAAAAGTAAACAATCAAAGGTGACTCAATTTCCATTGTTAGGTGAGAAAACGTTTCCACTGACAATGCCCCCATCTAAAGGGCAACTTTTGGGGAGGGTACCAATATCAGAAAATGGTGACAAGACGTCCATGATTTGGACTTTTCTCATTACCTCAGTCATGGGGAAAATGTCCATTATCTTGTCCAGGAGGTATTCATTGTAGCTATAGTACGTCATCAGGTCCTGGCGCAGAATGGAGATATATTCGGCACGGGATCTGTGGACAAACAGATATCTTAACAGAGGTTTGCCGATGGAGTTGGCTTTTGCTCCCGACAGAATCTAGTATTCAGGAATACAGCAAAGGCTCTAATACTCAAATCGGCTTGTTGGTAAAACCTCTCCATCGGCCAACAAATCTGCTACAGACATATCAGCTTTGATCACAGTGCACACAAGTCAACATGGTATATATACCTGAATTTGACTGTGTAAGAAGATTAAAAATTTTGGACGTTTCCTTTTAGCTATTCTTGGCTTTTAGTAGGACATTTTGTTAAATCCTTCAAAATCAAACAAAGTGCAGAGACCCAAAGGCATTTTGCCTGACCTGTCAAGTAACAGGGCAGGGGCTCTCTCGAGTCCCAAATCAAAACATAGAGTTGGAATTTAGTCAATGTGAGACGGTTAGAGTTAACCCAATGCCAGAAAAGGTAACACTTTGAAGTTGAAACCCACTGCCAGGCAATAATACAATCATTCCAATTCTCTGATAATCTTTCCACTGACCGGTCTGGTTCCCTTCTTGTCCTGAAGTCTCCCAACACTTCCATCACCTCCTTGATCCTCTGGTGCACCTGACTCATATCAAGAGGTCGATTCCGTGGCAAACCATTAAGGAATTTCAAAATAAGGCAGCGTCATATAAAGTGACTATTAGTGCACAAGTTGGATTTTTGGGGGGAGGGAGAGGATAAGTATCGAAAACTGTGGAGCAATTTTCTGAGGAATACTGGCCATAGAAAAAAGTTGTCTCAGTACAGGTAAAAACAGGAATTTTTATTTCGAACAACTGACAGTAAAAAAGGGTCACGGAAAGTACAATTTCGTATTCTGACACCCGTATGCATAATTGTTCAAGTAAAAAAAATCGTCTATTTTTCAATTTTATGAAGGATATTTTCTACTTCCAATTCCTCTGGCGTAGGCAGGTGGAACATGTCATACAGAGCTGTGTTGGCTCTTAGTTCAGCCTCAGCCAATTTCCTGTCAGAGGTGAAGAAAAAAACGAAATAACAAGAATAAACTACTTTCATGTTATTTCAGTGAAATTGTAAATCAGCTTCAGCACAGTTTTAGGAAAGCTTTTTTTCGTGAGTGCCACATTTCGAGGCTCACTTCTGTCTCTTGATCTTTTTGTCCAGCTTCTTGGAGGCCTTCTCAATGGGGAGAAGGTCCTCATCATCTTGATCATCCTCTGCCTCATCGCTGTCATCTGCATCATCGTCATCTTCTGAGTCTTCATCCGAGTCAGATCCCATGGGTCCAAAGTCATCAGCAGGCTGGAAGAAAGATAGTGACATAAATACAATTTGGACATAGTTTGTCTCTTATCAAGCACTTCAAAACAAACGAGAAAGATTTCAGGGGAATTATAGGATTGAGGAAGATACAACCAGTATGTATTTACACTGCAAATAGGAAGATTGAGGAGAAATCAGACCCTATCTAAAAGATCCCTATAAAAGTCTAAGTACAAACTAAGAAAAATTGTCCTCTCTGACTGAGGCCCAAGAGCCATGACTTCCATTTTAACATGCTCTTTCAAAATGAGGAACAAGATCCAGTGTTGTTCCAAGTACTTGCGACTCCCAATGGTCCACTCTTCACAATGAGCCGGAGATGATTCAATCAAAGCCTTCCAAGCATTCTGTGAGACTTTCTGACTTCTCGCCCAAGACAAAACATCAACGTACCATGTCGTCATCTGAGTCCTCCTCATCTTCCTCGTTCTCCTCCACAGCCTCATCTTCGTCATCCTCAAGAAGATTCAGAGGTACTGTTTTCTTCTTTTCGGCCGGGGCTTTCTTGACGGGGGCAGGTGTCAACCACTCTTTGTTGTCATCGGTGAAGCCTTTGCTGGCCATCTCTTCCATGTCATCGCTGTCTGCGAATTCATCTTCGCCGCTCTCTGCTTCTTCAATGTCTTCTTCATCCACATCTTCTTCGTTTTCCTCATCGTCATCACCGAAATCATACTCTATATCTTTAGGACATAAAAGTGATTTTAAAAAGTCATGTTCAATCTTAGCTGTGCCAGATTCTTCCACATGCACAAGGTTCTGAGAGGGCCTTGACAGGTAGAGAAAGTTACAACCAAGATATCTGTAAGAAGTTTCACATTCTGTGACAGTTTTAACCCTCCTATGCTGAAGTCACTCTTTGGGTCATTTGGTGAACACCTCACAGAAGCACAGCTGTGTCCTGTTGTGCACTGCGCCAACAGTCCCTCACAGGAA